CTTGGGTTCCCGTTTGTCACTGTTTCTTGTGCTGATGAGGATATCCAGGGGTCAATACAAGGCATGCAGCCAGCGTTGTTGTTTTCTTCTTCCCTTGTGATTATTATTTCTCCAAAGATGATGGTTTCATGTGTTTTTTTTTCTGGTTGTTTCTTATCATTATGAAGTGGTTTTCCACATAATGCAGGGGTCTTCAAACTTGTCCCTTTTATGACTTGTAGACTTCAACTCCCAGAATTCCTCAGCCAGCGTGCCTTTTTTTGTCACTACATTACAGCGTCTGTTATGAGTCCTATGAGTGGCGATCCCATCTGATTTGTTGGTATATTTGTCCATCAAACTGAAACTAGGTAGTGCAACAAACGATGAAGGGATTCATTATTCTTGGTATTTCAATCTTAGTGTATTTGGCTAAGTTGGGTGTGTTGTGTAGTATTGATGCAACAAATTATTTCACTAATTCTGAATCTGTGGACGTGAAATGTGTTGTGACATTCAATGAGAAAATAATATCACATTCTTCTGTTTCTAGATCTCTGATTTTTTTGAAGACACTGTAGTGAAGAATTGATAAAATATTTATTTATTTAATTAATTTCTATGGCTTCTCATCTCAGTCAAACATCTCTGAGGAGCTTACAATCCTACTTGCATAAAACAGATAAAACAACTTTAAAACAATCCAAAATAAATAAATTCAGGTAAGAGATGGTGTAAATAAATGCTGATCCTTCATAGGAGAACCCCGCTATCTTGCACTAATAGTCTTTTATTAAGGGGGTGTTTCCAAGTGCCTTGAACAGCCTGATGAAAATAACAAAGATTGAAAATCATTCTGCTTACACAAAGGCCTCTGCAGTGGCTGAGTTCCAGATCTGATACCGTGCTCTCTTCCTGTGGATATTCCCAACACGGTTAACTGAATCAAAAGTGGTGGTTCTGGCAGTTTCTATTCACAATAACTGGATAAAAAAAATAAAATCACCATTCTGTGAACTGAGTTGTACCCACAGTTTCTCCAGAACTTGCATAATATCCCATGAGAAACCTTAAATTTTGGACCTTCATTCAATGGATGCAGGAGGCCAAATTGTCAAATAATAGAGCAAATAACAAATGTTCTAAATTGTTCCATTGTTCTAAAATCTGGGCAATTGTCATAATTTATGTCCTTTATGTTACTCACTCTGTGGGGTGATTACAGATGGAACATAAACAGATGTGCACAATATAAAACCACCAATGATATTATTACGCAATTGATGCAAATTGATGCAAAGGATGAAAACTCATCAATTATGTAGACATTCAAATGGATCAAATGTTTCAATTATGTAAATTTGGATTAATGGAATTGGGGGATACTGCTCAATCTTCAGGAAAAACTATATTTGGCAGGCATATTCTGTGCTTACAGGCCTTGGAGCCTGCATAAATTTATTTTTTCAGCTTTTTTTCCTACAAGACTAACTATGCAAAATCAATTGATTGACTGGTTCTAGAGGTTTCCCACACCATAACTGAGTGAAATTAATTTAACCTCTGTGCATGACAGGGTCTGCTTCTTTGGGTCAACTGCCTATTTGGGGGGATATTTTATTTGTTTAGCTATCTATCTATCTATCCAATTTATATAAGCCATCTATCTCATAAACATGTCATTCTTCTATTTACAACACATTAACCCAAGTGTCTGAGTTACGTATGTTATGGCAACATTATTTTTCCTTCTTTCAATCATGTGGCATAATGTTTAATCCTTTTCACTTCAGGGTAGCTTAGCTATTGAGAGTCTAGATGCAGAACTGATAATTTCAGGATTTCAGCAACTACAAACCATCTCTGAATTGGCAAAATCAACCTTGACATTCATTATTAAATGAGAATATCACATACTATGAACTGACATTTTCTTCAGTGCTTATAATAAGGGGACAGAAAATCCTCATGCTTGGAATATAATTGCTTTATTTTCCATAGTCTATCTGGTTGCCTTGAAAAAGAATCCATGGCCCTGAGATGATCAAGGGTGTCCCCCAGGGTATAGTAAAGCCAAGATGGTGACCTTGGATCTACATATTATGAAAAAACTGTTGTCATGACCTTTAACTAAGGGAGAGAGGGAGGGAGGAAGGAAGGAAGTGTGGGAAATCAGCCTCCTCCCCAGAGAAAGAAATATTCTTGGAAATATTTAAAAGACAGTTCTGTCTTTCCCCAAAGGATTTTAAAAGCAGAAACCAACCCTGCCCCCAAGTCTCTCTGTCCCAAACAGAAACCAAGTCTGCAGAACAGCAGATGTGATAATCTTGTCAGAAAGACTGGAATCAGGAAACTGGGATTAGGAAGAAAAATCCCTAGAATCAACACACCAAAAATCTAAGAGTCGTCAGCCACAGCCCTTGGGAAGCAGGATTGACCTTTGGGACATAATAGGATTAACCCACCACCATCAGAATACCAGAAAGGCACACTCAGGTCAAAGTTCATGCCACAGGAACAACTCGAAACAAAAGGCTCAAGAAGGTATAAAAACCCACTCCCTACATGTGTTCGCTCTCTTTTCTTCCAGAGTCATCTTTCTGTCTCCTCTTCAATAAATGGCAACCTTCTTTCTAAAGCAGTCGCCATGTTGTTTATTCCCAGCTTGGACTGAACCATGATGAAGACTTGTCCTTCAAAGGAAGGAAGGAAGGAAGGAAAGGAGGGAGGGAGGGAGGGAGGGAGGAAGGTAGGAAGGAAGGAAGGAAGGAAGGAAGGAAGGAAGGAAGGAAGGAAGGAAGGAAGGAAGGGGGAAAGGAAGATTTTTGATGCTTCCCACCAGCTTCCCACAAGGAATCTGAATGGAAAAGCCAGAAGGAAGTCAGAAATTGCTCCCATTTACCACTCCTTTTTTCCCACCTAAGATCATTTGGCTTCTCAGTTTAGATAAAGAAATATCTCTGAAATGATGACTCAATGGGACACAGGTTCTCTAGGTTCTACTAAAACAGTGGTGGCGAACCTATGGCACGCATGCCAGAGGGGGCACTCAGAGCTCTCTCTGTGGGTACGTGCTGTTGCCGCAGCCCCCTGGAGGAGAGTCACCTCCAGGTGCAGCCCGCACAAAGCAGCCCAGCCAAGGAAATGGCAGCCGGGCAGCAGGGACAACCCTCATGCCCCGTCGCATGCAGATGATGCGGGGCACGGGTGAGGGCATGGTCGCCATGGCGCTGCTGGGCCACCTGGGCAATTGATGGGCTGTGGAGCCGGTGGGTGGCCCTTTGGGGGGGCGGGGTGGGGGGCAGAGTGGGGCCGGGGCAGTATTTGGCCACCCGGTCTCTAAAAGGTTCGCCATCACTGTACTAAATATAAATGTAGTAAACTAAGCCAGATTGTCTAACAGTGAGGGATGATGGGAAACAGAACCCCACAAGTGTAATGGTGTGAGAGAATGACCTTGAGAGAACAGAGGGAAGAGTCCCCGAGAAGGGAAACGTTGGATAAGAGGCACTGAGCCCACAGACAGAATGTGGGCATGGCAAAGTCTCTTGGATATAAAGATAACGGGGGAGAAATCTACTTTCTGGCCATGGTTCCTATCTGGACTACACTGCAAAGCTGACAGCAGAAGAATATCAAAGAAACTAGGGAGGGCGCCTTCTAAGATGTACCCACATTGCTTCTGATTTAGTTGATTTGGCAGGCTGGCCTTTTTATTACATATATATATATATATATATATATATATATATATATATATATATATATATGTAGGTCTTTGGTTGTTCGGGTTTTCTCCCGCGTAAAATTGGAAGTGTCTTGGCGACGTTTCGACGAAGTCCCATTCGTCATCTTCAGGCTGGTGTTTCAGCTTCGTGCTTTGAGCAGCAATGTGTGGTCTTAGCTGTTTCTTCCTTTTAACTTAAAAGGAAGAAACAGCTAAGACCACACATTGCTGCTCAAAGCACGAAGCTGAAAACACCAGCCTGAAGATGACGAATGGGACTTCGTCGAAACGTCGCCAAGACACTTCCAATTTTACGCGGGAGAAAACCCGAACAACCAAAGACCTACATACAAATACCCGCGAAAACCTCAGAAAACATATATATATATATATATATATATATATATATATATATATATATATATATATATATATGTTTGTTTTCTGAGGTTTTCGCGGGTATTTGTATATAGGTCTTTGGTTGTTCGGGTTTTCTCCCGCGTAAAATTGGAAGTGTCTTGGCAACGTTTCGACGAAGTCACATTCGTCATCTTCAGGCTGGTGTTTTTAGCTTCTTCATTGCTGCTCAAAGCAAGAAGCTAAAAACACCAGCCTGAAGATGACGAATGTGACTTCGTCGAAACGTTGCCAAGACACTTCCAATTTTACGCGGGAGAAAACCCGAACAACCAAAGACCCATATATATATATATATATACCCCCCAGCCAATCAGAGCACAGCCAAGCCCCTAACCAATCAAAACACACCTCCACCCAATCAGAACACAGCCAAGCTCCCACCCAATCAGTTCATACCTCCACTGGCAGTTAAAAGGAAGAAACAGCCAAGACCACACACTGCTGCTCGAGGCACGAAGCTGAAAGCACCAGCCTGAAGATGACGAATGGGACTTCGTCGAAACGTCGCCAAGACACTTCCAATTTTACGTGGGAAAAAACCCGAACAACCAAAGACCTACATATATATATATATATATATATATATATATATATATATATATATATATATATGAAATAATGGATGGAAACTAATCAAAAAGAGAAGCAACATAGAACTAAGGATAAATTTCCTAATAGTGAGAATTAATCAGTGGAATGGCTTGCTTTCAGAAGTTGTAGTTGCTCCAACACTGGAGTCTTTTAAGAAGAGACTGGACAGCCACATGCCTGAAATGGTATAGGGTCTTCTGCTTGAGTAGAGGGTTTGACTAGAAGACCTCCAAGGTCCCTTTCAATTCTGTTATTCTGTTATTTTCTTCCTTCTCCATCACAGGTATCATTCTGCGCCCTACCAAGAGCAGCCCACCATTCTCTAAGAACACAAGCCATGGCGAGACCTACAAGGGGAATTCCACCTTCTCCCCCTACTATCAACATTCTTCTCCAGTAGCGTCCATGTTCATTGTTGCCTATGCCTTTATCTTTTTCATGTGCATGATTGGCAACATGTTGGTGTGCTTCATTGTGCTAAAGAATCGGCAGATGCGAACAGTCACCAACTTCTTTATCCTCAACCTAGCGATCAGCGATGTCTTGGTGGGGATTTTTTGCATGCCAACCACACTGGTGGACAACCTGATTACAGGTAAATGAAAACCAAGAATATTGAAAAAGGGAGAAACGAAAAGAAATGCTAAGATTCCCCAACATATTTAGGATTGCTAATTAATTTACAAGACATTGGACTTTAGGGTTTTATGATTTTGGAGAACATAACTAGCTCTGATATGAAGATCTTACAATAAAAATCCATGAAAATCATTATTGCTCTAATAGCATTTTATTTTATTTGGAAGTGTAGTCTTAATTTTGTAGTTCAGATGTCCATTGAATAAATACTAGTTTGAGATTTTATACAATGTTTATAGTTGTGAGACAGCAAAGGTGCAGGGCTTTTTTTTTTGTCATAGAACACACCGGAACAGAGTTCTGGCACCTTTTTTTGACGGATTTTCCAGAGTTGCATTCTTTTCCTATTGTTTCCCTTCCTATCCTTGTTTGTTTTTAAAAATGCCCCACTGGTGGTACAGTGTAAGCGGGGTTGCCTCCAGCGCTGATTGCCTCCTCTAGGAGGAGCCATGAGGCGCTGGAGCACCACAGTCAGAGTGTGGCTTGATTGGCTGGGTTGGACCATGTGGTGTGAGGCCAATAGTGGCGGTAGGAGACACATAAACATGGAGGCCATCTTTCACAGAAGGTGGGGTGTGAGATTAAAAAGAGGAGAAGCAAGAGGAAAGAAAGGTGGCTGGCATGGAAGCTTGCCCGACAGCAAAAGTTTGCTGTTTCAGTTCCTTGGATAGTCCAAAGACTGAGATGTCTATGAAAAGCTCTTTTTAATCTTTTATACATTATATTCAAACTGCAGAGGGGAAGAATAAGAATAAAGCCAATGTCTTGTGATTTGGAGGTATTATTATTAATAATAATATATATTAATTCTGTATTGGTCAGATGTAAAGGTAGACTACAGTATAAGGTTTAATCAAATCTATTCATTAAATTGGGTTTAACTTAAAGGTAAATTAAAAGTAATCTGTTCACTGACAAAGTTTCAACTTTAATTTGTCTCAAGTCAATATCCATATTAAACTCCAAATGTAAATTTTTCCACCTTGTTTGACAACTTCTTAAAAATAATTCAGTCTTTTACAAAGCAATCACATTTTGTTTTATTGGGCCAATTTCATTCCACACAGAAAGCTGACATTTCCATCATTAAACTATATGGGTATGCCAGTGGTAAATGTCCCAAAAGATTAATAAAATACCTTCTTGTAATTTAAAGCCACACAGTGCATGGTAACATTAATAGTATTAACTTACCTTGAATGAAATCCTAGTCTTTTAGATACACTAAAAATTGAAGGTTTTTTTTTTTCAACTACAAAGGTAAACCTTGTAGGGTAGGCAAGGTGGGTTGTATGATGTATGTGAGTTCCGGCACTTTTTTTTTTTTTTTAACAAAAAAAGCACTGAACAGGTGTATTACTTGCCTGCATTTTCTCAGGGAAAAAAAAGTAAAACTTTTTACTTTTGTGATTAAATGGTATGAAGACTTTTCCTGAAGAGAGCATTATTATGAAAGGTAATGGAACATGTGGTTTGGACATTGAGTGGAGACTGGTACTTTTAAGTTCTTTCTGAGATATTTATTTATTTATCTAATTTATATAGCTGCCCATCTCACAAGCAAGTGACTCTGGGCAGCGTACAGCACAACTATATTACTGAAAGTGAGTCTTTCAGTCCTAAACAATATTTTATATGCCGCACTGTGAATGATATTTATTAGATTCAGGTTTAAGGGAAATACAAGAAAAGATAATGGGATGACAGACAATTCATTTGCTTTCAATCCTTTTGATCTAAAATAAATGATAAGGAAAGGTTAAAAGGCAAGCATTGCAAATAAGATATGGAAATGAATTAGATCTTTTTCCAGAGACTTCAGATACCTTCTCCTTTAATAACATAATCCCCATTCCAACAGAATCTCTTATTTTATCTCTTCTCAGAAATTCTTCAGGGCACAGTTTATTGACAGCTTTTTACTGATTATCTTGCTATAGATAACTCTTAGATCTTTCCTTGGGTAAGACAGCCTATGAATTTTGCCTGTTTCAAAAAGGGAAGCTGTTTGGTGGGGCTTAGGTTTATAATATAGGTCCAGGCTGTTGGATACGCATTATCTGGAAAACAGCAAAGACAAAGCCAGATAATATCACAAAGTGAACATCTCTATGGGGACATCTTCAAATGTCCTGGCTACAAAGACAGAAGTCCAGTCAGTCCCCGCTCAGTTGCCTGTGATCTGTGTGGCAGAATATTTGGCCTTTGAAGATCCTAGCATGGTTATTGGTGACACATCAGAAAATCATCTGTCAGATCACTAAACCCTGAAACCCAAACCTGACCTGCAGATACAGGTATTCCTCAACATATGACTACCATTAAGGCCAAAATTTATGTTGCTAAATGAGAAATTTCTTAAGTGAGTTTTGCCCCATTTTATGACTTTTCTCACCACATTTGTTAAGTGAATCACTGTAATTTTTAAGGTTGTAACACAGTTGTTAAGTGAATCTGGTTTCCCCATTGACTTTGCTTGTCAGAAGTTTGCAAAAGGGGATCTCATGACTCTGAGACACTGCAACCATCATGTGAGTCAGTTGTCAAGCATCCAAACATATATCACGTGACCATGGTGATGCTGCAATGGTCATAATGGTTGTAAGTCACTTTTTTCACTGCTGTTGAACTTCGAATGGTCATTAAATGAAGTCCTTGTAAGTCAAGGACTTCCTATATTGAGCATGAAAATCCACACCTGTATACTGAACACCTCTTGTTTTTCTCTCTGCCTGTTAGATAAATGATAAAAATATATATATTAAATTAGAATTCCATATTTTTGTGTGAGTAATTTGCAGAGCTGAGAATACACTTACAGTATTTTCCTCACAGTACACCTACACATGAGCAAAACTGAAGATACGTTTATTTTCTTTATAGTAGAACTACAAGAATTCTGAGGTGCACCAATCAATATAGAAAGGTGGAAAACGTTTTTGAAAATGCTTTTTCCCTAGTAGCTATTAATCTTGCTTGTTTGTAACAAGTAACTAGGAACTTGCACTTATGCTGCCCGCTGGCACTTTAAAATAGATCAGATTTTTCAGGCAAATTTTGAGTGAGTGAAAATATTCACTGTCTTGTTGTGGAAAGAGTTGGACATCTTAAAAACATATTTATGCTTCTGAATGTTGATTAGCTCTTTAGTGCTAAGTTTGAGAATCCCTCCAGCACCATCTAATTTTAATCATACTGCATATTTAAATGTTAAGAATTATTTTATATTTTTATAATGATTGCATTTTAATTGTTGTTTTTGATACCGTACACAACCTAGAGTCACTTCTTGTAAGGAAGTGGCTATACAAATTAAATAATTAAATAATTAAATAAATAAAATACACTAAGAACCCACGACAATATTATTTTTGCCATATATTCCCATCAAATAGTGTCATTTTCTGTCTTCATTTTAAACATTTGGTTTTCTTTTATTTATGTGTTGTCAAAGCAGGTGGTCTCATCTTGCTGACCTTTGCTGATCTGGAATGATGCTCAGGAGGGTCAGGCTTGGTGTGAATAAATCACCTCAGGGAATCTGACTTTAGACTTGTCTAAGAAATGGGGGGGGGGGATCCCAGAAGAAGTCAATGATGAATGTATTTTTCCTCTGCATATGATTTCCAAGTACATGCACCCAGGAATCAAGGTCAAATCATTACATGTTGAAATAGATGTGATCTTTTTTCACACTGCGTTGAGAGATGGCAGGGCGCAAAAGGAATTCATAAGAAGGGAAAATTCAGAATATATTTTTGGACAGACTCGGGTTTCATTTGCCAGCAGCACTCGTGTGGAAAAAAATCCCTCGATTTTCTCTACAAAACAGTATCCTTATAATTTAATAGGCAAACCACTTTGTCTATCAAGAAACAAGGTATATTTACTTCTTTTATGAACAAAACAGAAAAAAAGTGTTATGACTGAAAGGAGATGAGAATTTATTTCCAGGATATTTCCCCCACACTTGCTAAAATGACAGTGACAGGGTTCAGTTCCTGTCAGCCCTAAAAAGTAGACTAGACTAAGAAACCCAATGTTATATAGGTCAGTACTTTTATTTTAAGGTTGTAGTAACAGAATTTTGCGAATCTTAATGTACCTTCTTTTCCTGCCCTTTATTTTTGAGTGCCTGCTTGAGATCAATTTTGATCACGTGACCATGGGGGATGTTGCAACAGTTGTAAGTGTGAAAAACAGTCATAAGTCACTTTTTCCAGTGCTGTTGTGTTTTTGAACGGTCACTAAACAAATAGTTGCAAATCAAGGACTACCTGTTTCTTCACTGTAACAGAGGTAGAACGAAACTGACTAGTAGCAAAGATCCAGCCTTCTGAAACTGAGTAAAACAAAATAATAAGGAAATTGCACAAAGTAACTGGGGGATAGGCAGTATAAATATTTCTCCATTTGCTAACAAGGAACAAGAAAGCCAGTTTGGTCTAGTGGTGAAAGCACCAGGCTATAAATCACAGGACTCTGTAGGTTCAAGTCTGTCTTAGGCACATTTAAATATTTAAATAAAAATAGCGGGTGACTTTAGGCCAGTCTCTTTCTCAATCTAACTCACTTCAAAGCATTGTTGAGGTGGAGAGGAGGAAAGAGTATGAGGTATGCTCGCCACTTTGAGTTATTTATAAAAATAATACAGGCAGTCCTAAAAAAAAAGTCTTTAAGAACCAGAAAACAATGCCTATTTCCAGCAATTCTGTCAACTCTAAAAAGCAGTGTTTCTTATCAATAAAACAGCTTCTCTTTACATAATCAAATGTAACCAGTTTTCCTTATGTGGTCCCAAGATTCTAATAGCAAATTAGAGCCCTAAAAAGTTCTGACCCACAATTCAAATTCCACATAAGGTATCTTTCTATTGTCTTGTTGCTCCTTTTTTGCAAGTTGAAACAGAAAGATTTGTGTTTTAATAAAGTGTGATCTTTATTATAGTTCCATCTGAGCTCCATCTCTCATATCCAGGGCTAAAAGTTTTCTGCCCAGAATCGCTTTGAAATGGGAGAAGTGGCAACTAACTAAATAAATAAATAAATAAATAAATAAATACGCCCAACATTTTTAAACAGGGGTCAAAAAGAATAGTGCGATCTCATACAGTGAGCTGACCGTGATCATGGAGACCCCTGGTGGAGACTGCAAATATAAACTGAGCATTTGCTGCATATTGCTGTAATTTTGCAATAGAATGAGCTTTCTAGTCAGTGCCATAATATAGGTTTGTGCTGCTTTGCTTTGGTATTTAAATTTGCAAACCCAAATCTTTGTCCATAACAAAATAATAATAACCTGTCTGGAGTGTCCATGAGGGGGTGGAGTAGTGATGTCAGAATCCAATTATATTTCATCTTTAATTATCAAACATAGAAAATCCCAATTCTGCCTTCTCTGGATTCTGCCATAAGAGGGAGAGAAGGGGGAGAACAAAGGGGCTTTATGGCCCTCACTTCCTTCAGTATACTTCTAAGGAATTGAATGTGTTTATTGCAACCTCAAAGAGTTTGAATGTAGTTAGCACCAAAGAACCTTACCATAACAAAGGGGGCTATTTACCTTTCATGTAGTTTATCTGAAGTCTCCATCCAGACGGAAGAAAGGAACAAAGGGGTGGAATTGTGATGCCTGAAACTATCACTGGAAGGGGGGGTGATTGGGTGGGACTGCTGGGGAACCCCTTAAAACCTTGAATGGGAGAGCTTGGACCCCAAGTCCTGTCTAGCACGCCTGCAACCACTTCTTCTTAATAAAGGATTCCTGTTGGAAGAATTATTCCAAGAGTTCTGTCTTCTTAAGATGCAAAGTGGGGTGGGTCCTTACAAGTGATCAGAAAAGTAAAGATGGCAGCTTCTTCACCATCCCTGCAAATATCCCTGTAATCAGAATTGCCAATCTAATAAAAATGTTTTTAACTGATTAAAGATTTTTAAAGATGTTTATGCATTCCTTAATCTGATGCCTCCCAGATGAGATCAGTCCCAAATTTCTCATTCTGGGAATTTGAGAAATTGAAGTCTGACTTTTGTGGAATATACCTATTTGTTTGTTTGTTTTATTGAAAACATTCATAAAGCCACCCATTTTATGTCAAACTCTGGCAGCTTTCAATCAACAATGAAAACACCATTACTAAAAACAACATAATGCAGTGGTGGCCAACTTATGGCATGCGTGCCAGAGGCGGCACTCAGAGCTCTCTCTGTGGGCACGCATGCCTTCACCCCAGCCCTGCTTCCCACCACGGCCCCCTCTTCACCAGCAACCCTCCTGGAGGAGAGTTGCCCCCGAGTGCGGCCCATGCGGAGTAGTGCAGCCAAGGACATGGCAACCAGGACAAGACTCCACCCTCGCGCCCTGTTGCATGTAGTTGATGCTGCGGGGCGCGGGCGGAGGGTGTGGCTGCCATGGCATTGCTGGGCCACCTGGGTGATTTGCAGCAGGCTGTGGAGGCGGTGGGTGGCCCTGTGGGCAGATGGAGTGGGGCAGAGTGGGTGGGGCAGGGTGGAGCAGGCGGGGGTGGGCAGGGCAGTTTTGGGGCACTCTAAAAGTTTTGCCATCACTGGCATAATTCATACATTTACTGAAACCATAAACATTCAAAATTTGGCATTGAAGTTAAACTTCCCATATCCTTGCTTGACAGCAATACAATTTTACTTCAATGAAATAAATGATAGCCCTCTGCAATGCCCCCTTCAACTTTTGATTAAGATGAAAGTTCCATTTGGCACGGCAAATAGGCAAGAAGATGAAAAGGAAAATAGCAATTCAGCCCTACTATATGGGTAAATGTCCTTAGGCAAAGACAGGGCTGTGGGAATTATATGTTTAGCAGCGTGATAGGGGGGAAAAACTGTCTCTGTGTCTAGTTCAGTGGTGGCGAACCTATGGCACGGGTGCCAGAGGCGGCACTCAGAGCCCTCTCTGTGGGCATGCGCACCATTGCCCCAGTCCTAGGCCTTCAGCTGGGTTTTATAAAACCTTTTCGCTTTAGGCCTCCGCCACCGTGTACAAAAAAAAAAGGTTCAATCAATCAGTCAATTTCAATTTCTTGCGGGAAAAAAAGATCTTGCAAAGTTGGAATTGATTGATTGAACTGTTTAGTCCCACCCAAGCTGCCGTTAACAGCGCAGCCACATCCACCCAATGGGCCACACCCACCCGGCACCCAACAATGCATAAGTGGGTTTTGGGTTGCAGTTTGGGCACTCACTCTCTAAAAGGTTTGCCATCACTGGTCTAGTTGTTTTGGCATGCAATAGCCTATAGCAGCATCTTGAGGGGAGGAGTTTCTTGAATCAGAAGCTAATTCTGTCTATTGCTGTCTAATTCTGTCTTATTCTTCTAGAAAGGATTCAAATCACTATTGATTTTCTGAATTCAGTTTTGCAAAGTACTTTATTTCCCTCCTATCACATCAAGGATATGTATAATTCTCTGCAGTGCTTTTTTTCTTAAAAAAAAAAAAAAAAAGGTGCCGGAACTCACACACATACAACCTGCCTTGCCTACCCTACAAGGTTCCATTCAAAAAAGGTGCCGGAACTCCGTTCTGGGTGTTCTATGAGAAAAAAAGCCCTGATTCTCTGTATGCCAGGATGCATTGCCCCAGGCTGCATTGCAGCTTGCTCCAATTAAAAAGATACTCTTCAAAAACGTTTTGGAAGATAGTAAGTTAGCACCATCTACAGTTTTTGATCAATCATTTTACTGTTTCCATTCTCTCTCTCTATATATATTTCTATGCTGTTTGCATGGTTTTACACTGTTAGCTGACAAGAATTTATAGCTGATGTACAAAAATTATAAGCGCAAATAAATAAATCAGAGACATTTAATGGATTTTTTTTCCAACCGTGTTGTAGATTATTCTATTCTATTAAATTCAGAATTCAACCAATTTTAGAAGGAATAATGGCATTTACTATTTTTTTACTCATTATTGTCATAAATGAAAACCATCTTCCAAATTCATACATTTTGGGCCTTATCCATTGGACTCACCAATTGTACAACTGACATCTTAGATCTGGGCATGCTCAGATCCAATTGAAGCAATGGATTTCAATATATCTAAAGTGCATTTCAAAGTAATGAATCATCAATCAGTCAAAATATATTTACAGTCTGAGACCATACACAATAAGAGATGAGCACACAACAACTTCTATTTTTTAAAAATCTTAAAATTGTGAGAAAATCCTAAAATAATTTTTCAATTATGTCCCATCTCATAATTCTAGCATTCACATAAATAGATTTTCTCCAGGACAATCTATCCCTAACCCAGGGGTAGGCAACCTTGGCTCTTTTATGACTTGTGGACTTCAACTCCCAGAATTCCTTGGCCAGCTGTGCTGGCTCAGGAATTCTGGGAGTTGAAGTCCATGAGTCATAAAAGAGCCAAGGTTGCCTACCCCTGCCCTAACCTGATCTTTCAGGTCTTCCAAACATTCCATTGTCACAGCAACTAATTCTATCTACCTTGCTGTTAGCTGTCCTCTTTTTCTCTTTCCTTCCATCTTTACCAGCATTAGAACCTTTTCCAGAGAGCTGGTTCTTTGCATAACATGGCCAAAGTAGGATAATTTGAATCTGGTCATTTGTGCTTCAAATGAGAATTCAGTGTCGATTTGTTCAATGATCCACTTGCTTGTTGGTTGGTTGGGTTGTCCACAGTATTCTCAAAAGTCTTCTCCAACACCACCTAAAACAGTGGTTCTCAACCTGTGGGTCGAGACCCCATTTGGGGTCGAACGACCATTTCACGGGGGTCGCCAAACAACGCAGTCCGCCATTTTCCCCCCCTTTTCCTTAGCTGTGCTACTCCCTTTTATTCTATTGGCTTTTGAAAGCCAATAGAATAGACTCTCTTGAATAGAGTCTAATTCTATTGGCTTTCAAAAGCCAATAGGAATTGTCCAGGCTGTCTCTGCCCTGCTGAGCCTGCTAAAAGTCCCATTCTGCAAACGGTGCTGCACCAGTTGAGTAGTCCTCGACTTACGACTGGTTGAGTAGTCCTCGACTTACGACTGGTTGGGGGTCACAGCATTAAAAAGGTTGAGAACCACTGACCTAAAACAATTAGCTACTAAGGATTAGTAGCATGAGGGAGGAACCAGACAGGTTGGGGTCACTGGTTTGATTACAATAAAGCAGCAGTTCCCAACCTTTTCTATACCCCGCACCCCTAGAACACTTCTGATATATTCTCGCACCCCTTAGAAAAGTGCGAAATAACAGCAACGAATTATGTATATACATATAATTTTGAAATTTCTAAAACCAAGTTTTTGCACCCTGTGGAATATTGTCTCGCACCCTCAGTTGGGAACCCCTGCAATAAAGCATTCAAAGCTTACAGCTTCAATCATAAAATACTTTAAATACCCGAGAGTTGGCTATTCTCCAAAGGAGCCAACCATGTGCTTAGATGAGGATGTCAGTTATTCTAGCTTTGTACTTAAGCTCCCCGAGATCAGTCCGCAGAATTTGGTAATACCTCTTCGACCACAGTCATGTGCAGGTAAATACAAGTGTCCATGTGCATCAGTCTAATAAACATGGAGTAGATGGATAACATGTAGAGTCCATTAGATAACAAAACTTTGATTTTTTTAAAAAATACCTTATTAAAATGTGATTCAGCAATTCTTAAACAAGGCAAAATCTTGAAAGGTGGAGTCAAACTAGGATGTAAGTATATTATTAGGATGCTCTGCTTATCATTCCAGGCTGGCCATTTGATACTTTTATGTGTAAGATGAGTGGGTTGGTCCAAGGTATGTCTGTCTCAGCTTCCGTGTTCACCCTGGTGGCCATCGCAGTAGAGAGGTAAGCTTGCCTCACTAATTTTCTGTTCTTTCCCTTCAATCTCAAAATGAAGCTATAGAGTCACCTGACATTCTACTGATCTGAAATGTGTTCTCTTGGTTAATCTTTCTCTTCAGGCTTCTGTTCTCCCAACTTGCTCCAAAAAACCTGAAACCTGCTGCCTGAAGCAAAGAACAGAATAGCCTCTTGATTTAAAAAAGCTGGGTTAATACATTTTAAAAGATGATTTAGTCAATACTAAGTATTATTCATGCATGCCTTTTTATAACTGTAGATTCTGTTAAAGCAGTGGTTCTCAACCTTTTTAATGCCGCGACCCCCAACTTGTCATAAGTCGAGGACTACTCAACTGGTGCAGCACCGTTTGCAGAATGGGACTTTTGGCGGGCTCAGCAGGGCAGAGACAGCCTGGACAATTCCTATTGGCTTTTGAAAGCCAATAGAATTAGACTCTATTCAAGAGAGTCTATTCTATTGGCTTTCAAAAGCCAATAGAATAAAAGGGAGTAGCACAGCTAAGGAAAAGGGGGGGGGGAAATGGCAGACTGCGTTGTTTGGCGACCCCTGTAAAATGGTCGTTCGACCCCAAATGGGGTCCCGACCCACAGGTTGAGAACCACTGTGTTAAAGTAAACTCTAGATCCTAGCCCTTATGACACCCCCCCCCCCACTTTATTGATGACTTTGGTTAAAAATATATATTTTGTTATTCTTATAAAATTTCTATCATGAATTTTTATATTAATATATAGGATGGACCTCCTAGGTGGTGGGATGTTGCTTTATATATAAACTTAAAATCAGGAGCACCTTTTCTGACAAATTTTATTATATTGTTAATTTTTTTATATTAGGATTATCCAATCACAGCAATTCCTGCAAAGTTGGTTGGGCTGAGTAATAAAAATTGACTGCTTTACCACAGAAGAATCTGAGCCCAGGTCTCTCTAATAATTTTTTTCTTCTTTCCTTAATACACCTATGCTTTGCTGATGACACCTTGTAGTCAAGTTGAAACAAATATTCCTTTTAATGGTTGCATGTTATAATTAGCACGCCAGGCAGAAGAACTCCCAAGGGAATTAAAAGATGCCCCTTCCCAATAGATTGCTAAGTAGACATTTTTCTGCTCCACGTTACAGCAAACCACAAAAGAAGGCTTGTTTCAAACAGCAGTTCCAATATTTGAGGAGAGTGCTTTTTCTTTTTCTTCCAGGTTCCGCTGCATTGTGTATCCTTTCAGACAAAAACTAACTCTACAGGTAGCTCTGATCATCATAACCATCATTTGGGTCTCAGCCTTAATCATAATGTGCCCCTCCGCAGTTACCTTGACTGTCACCCGAGATGAAAACCACTTCATGCTGGATGCTTATAACAACTCCTACCCTTTTTACTCCTGCTGGGAAGCATGGCCAGACCCAAAAATGCGCAAGATTTATACCACTGTCCTTTTCTCACACATTTATCTTGCTCCTCTCATTGCAATTGTGATCATGTATGCTCGGATTGCCTTCAAACTCTTCAAGTCCTCTGTGCCTATAAGAGGCTCCCAGTTAGAGGACAGCGAAGGAAGAAGGATCTCTAAGAGGAAAATAAAAGTTATCAATATGCTGTTTATTGTGGCATTGTTCTTCAGTCTCTCTTGGCTGCCCCTTTGGACTTTAATGCTGCTGACCGATTATGGGAACCTGACTGACCATCAGCTCAGCCTCATCACGGTTTATTTTTTCCCATTTGCCCACTGGCTGGCTTTCTTTAACAGTAGTATCAATCCAATCATCTATGGTTACTTCAATGAAAACTTCCGGAGAGGATTCCAAGCTGCCTTCAAAATCCAGTTTTGCTCGGCAGAAAAGGAACATCAAGAAACATATTCTGATCGTAACCACAGTCGATTTCATTTTAGAGCACGCAATCGGATATTCGTTGAAGTTCAAGGCTCTGATTTGGTGGAGCCCTCTGATTCTGGAGAAAGCAGTGTTTTGAAAGCAGGATTGTTTCTTGCCAAAAATGGGCAGGCAGTTCACCGTGGGCTGAAGGTAGAGGATTTGGACAGTAAAAGCTGCTCTCCCAAAACTGTTAGCATCGCTGCTTGTGACATCTGAGCATATTTCAAACTTCTTTGAAATGATGAGTTGACTTTACTAGATGTGAGATATTTTCAGAATACTGTGGTATCTCTGTACTCATAGTTAATAGGTTCTGGCAGGCACAATGAGTACCAAAAATGATGAGAACGAAATAAAATTTTCACATAAGGAATAATAATAAGTGTGTTACAAGGCAGCCAACACCAACAAGTTCTGGCTTGTGTGTTGAGTATCAAACAAATAATGAGTATCAGGGAAAAAAATTTTGCGTCAAAATACATTGAGTACCAAATTTGATGAGTTTCAAAGCAGTTGAAGTACCAAGATACCACTGTATGTTCATAGCTGTTTCAGAAACATGCTTTAAGCAAACTATGAAGATCAAATACTTTACCATTGTTGATACTAAGGAAAGGATGTGAGGTGTGGGAGATGTTCCCATCTTCAAATCCCCACTTTTGGTTGCATAATATGGGACAGATGAATGCTTCTAATGTGTTCCAGTCTACCGTAACATCTTTCCCCTTCCTGCCTCTGTTTTAAGGAAAATCAGGTATAGTTGGAGGAGGAAGGTTGTGGTGAATATACATTGATAATGCAAATACCTCATCCAATGGATTCCACTGGCTGTGCTACTTCAATGCAAATAATAAACTTTGCATCATACACATCAAAAAGCATAAATCGTTTAGTTGTTGCTCAAAATCTGCACCGCAATGATTCCACTAATTTTTCTGAGATTATATCAGGTGATTAAGGCAACAGGCTAGAAAGCAGGAGACTGTGAGTTCTAGTGCCACCCTAAGCACCTTGGGTGGTTCACTCTCTGACAGCCTTAGGAAGAAGGCAATGGCAAGCCATTTCTGGAAGAAAACGGTAGGTACTAGTCTAGGCAGTGCCCAGGAGTCAACACTAATTGAAAGGTACCATGACAACAACAGTACTATGGGTGCTTCTAAATGATAGCTGCATATTATGCAATTGTCCGGCGAGGAATTCTGGGAGTTGAAGTCCACAAGTCTTAAAGTTCCCAAGTTTGAAGACCCCTCTGAACTAGGCAGATAATAGGAGTCCTTTGTTTTACTTTGACCTTAATCTTCATTCTCTGTTTAAGGGATATTTTGGTAATGTTAAGATTAAGGATACAGTGCCATATATATGACACTTAGCCAGATTTCCTTGGCTCTACTACAGTTTAACCACAACGGCACACTAACTTTCTAGATTGGTTGTTGGATTGCGATTTACAAAACATCCAGCCACCATTATGATCTAAAATTAAAGCCCATGCTAAATGGGCCCAACAAAACCAAAATGTGAATGACAGTAAAATGATGTAAACATATCTCAACTACACATGCGTCAACCGATTCTATTGGGCCCATTTAGGAAATAGGAATTGAGACCAATCTGTTTTCATTGCAGCAACCCAGGTCCTACCCTCCTCTTCTCTCTCATGCTGTGTGTTGATGTGTATCTGTATGTCTCTGTGTTAAAAATGGTAGAGCAGCTGTGATTGAATCCTTGAAGCCCTACTCCAAGGGTCTTCAAACTTAGCCCTTTTATGACTTGTGGACTTCAACTCCCAGAATTCCTCAGCCAGGCATGCTGGCTGAAGAATTCTGGGAGTTGAAGTCCACAAGTCATAAAAGGGCCAAGTTTGAAGACCCCTGCCCTACTCTATTCTTTTACAGGTAGTCCTTGACTTACGACCAAATTGAGCCAAAATTTTTGTTGCTAAGTGAGACATTTATTAAGTGAATTTTGCTCCATTTTACAATCTTTCTTGCCACGGTTGTTAAGTGAATCCCTGCAGTTATTAAATTAGTAACATGGTTGTTAAGTGAATCTGGCTTCCCCATCGACTTTGCTTGTCAAAAGATCGCAAAACATGACCACACGGCTCCAGGACAATACAATGGTCATAAATGTGAGTCAGTTCCCAAGAATCTCTGTTTTGATCACATGACCATGGAGATGCTGCGAAGGTTGTAAGTATGAAAAATGATCATGTCACTTTTTTCAGTGCCATTGTAACTTCAAATGTTCACTAAATGAACTGTTGTAAGTCAAGGACTACCTGTATGGTTAAGTCAGGAAAAAAAGGCAAAACATTTTATAAATTACACAAGAATTAACAAGATGTTAAAACAAAAGAAAATGAATACCTTATTCTTTCAAGTAAGATTGCATGGGAACAGATATACAGAAATCATGTTAGCAGTTTAAATTTAAGAACTGAACAAAGATAATGAGAATCATTAGCCAAATCAATACAGTGTTGAAGGAAAAGTTTTCATCATGGTTCAGTCCAAGCCAGGAATAAACAACATGGCAACTGCTTTAGAAAAAAGGTTGCAGTTTATTGAAGAGGAGAGCCAGACAGAATGATGGCTCTGGAAGGAAAGAGGAGAAAGAGCACATGTACGGAGTGGGTTTTTATACCCTCTGGGGCTCTCCTGTTCCTGTTTGAGGCTTTGTATTTCCTGTATCATGTATTTTGACCTAAGTCTGAATGTACCCTTCTGGTATGCTGATGGTGGTGGGTTAATCCTATTATGTCCCAAGGGTCATATCCTGCTTCTCTGTGGCTGTGGCTGATGACTCTTAGATTTTTGGTGTTGATTCTAGGGCAGGGGTAGGCAACTTTGGATCTTTATGACTCATGGACTTCAACTCCCAGAATTCCTAAGCCAGCATGGCTCAGCTTGGAAACCTTTCCCTTTCCCCTCAGCATGGCTGGCTCAGGAATTCTGGGAATTGAAGCCCACGAGTCATAAAAGAGCCAAGGTTGCCTACCTCTGTCCTAGGGATCTTTCTTCCTAATCCCAGTTTCCTGCTTCCAGTCTTTCTGAAAAAGATTATCTGCAGTTCTGCAGAGCTGGTTTCTGCTTGGGAGAGGGAGGGAGGGCATATTTTTCTGCCTCCTTAAGATCCTTTGAGAAAATATATTTTTCTGCCCTTTTAATGTTTCCTTCTCTGGGGGGCTGACTTCCCACAACAGTAAGAACCTAGTAAGAATTAATAACAATTTCTAACTAATCAGAAGCAGTACCATTATGGCCAATTAGAAAATAAGTGTTTTATCGTCCTGGTGTTAAAAGTAGCTCAAACTTTAAATAAGACACAGAGCCGCATGTGATTTAATTAATAAACCAGTATTTCTCAACTTCTGGAACTTTAAGATGTATAGACTTCAACTTTCAGAATTCCCTTGACAGCACGCTAATAAGTGAATTCTGGGAGTTGAAGTCCAAACATTTTAAAGTTCCCGAGACTGAGAAACACTGTCATAAACCGATGAAGAAAGTGTCTCATGCCCATCTTGCAGGTACGACTATGTCTATGATAATTTACTATGTCTACATTTTGTTGCGGGGAAGGAAAGATATAAGATCCACATGTAACTATCTCTTCAAAATATATCACAACATACCCAGTCAATGCTGGATGATAATTGCCCTGTCCCTCTTCGTCCGTGTATTGAAATCGGACCAAAGGGTGATCTCAGCCTTCCATAAACGGGAGTCGGAAGCGAACGGAGGATGAGGAAGTCTCCCTTTTCCTACGTCTATAGGCGAACGGGAGGCGGCGGAGGAGCAGCTGAGAAAAGAGAGCCTGCGCACTCTGGCACCGGATGATGAAACACTCCGGCGGCATGTTTGCTCCATGCCGCGAGGGGCGGGGCCGAAAAGGAGGAGGAGGAGCCAGTCGGACAAATCAGGGCTCGCCCTGGGCGGCTGCGCGGTGCGTTTGCCTTTCTCTTGTGGCTCACTTCAAGAGCCGGTCAGCCTGAGCACCATGGCTGCTTACCGAGTGGAGGAGCGGGGAACCCTCAATAGCGTCGATTATAGGCTCTTCTTCAGTGAGTCCTTGGCGGGAGGACGGGCGGGCCGCTCCCTTCCCCGGGGGCGGCCTGTGGGGCGCGTTATTGGGGCGCAGCCAACCTTGGGGATCCTTCCGGAGCCAGCCGTTCTTTGACACGATCAATGAATGTATGCTGCGCGAGATAAGGCGGTATTAGGGATCGGTTTGCGTGGCGCCCGCGGCTATAAGGGCGTGAACCGGGCTTCAGACGAGAGATAAATGTAAAGTTTCACTTTCCTCTGGGACGCCTGCAACCGTTGCGAACCTGGCGGGTCTCCTGGGGGGTCGGGAAGAGCGTGTTTCCAAGGAACTGAGTAAACCTGGATGTGCCTCCTGAACGTTATATTTTGAGTCATCCCAAACTAGTCATCCTCGGAAGCAAGCCAGGTCGAGTCCATTGGCGCTTAGTTGTAGTTTATGTAGGGAGTATGGATGGGAAACGCGTTCATGTCCTCTGGTGGGTTTGGGCTGTCTTACGTTATCTCGTAAATTCAGCTTCTTCCGTGTAGAAAGGGATGATGATAGAAATCTTTCCTCAAAGGACCATTCTGTCCTTTCAATTTTGTTAATGTATCCAAAGCATAGGTGGGACTGGGTAAAAGTTTTCTTGCCTGTGCCTGCGTGTCGTACTGGTACGGTTTATTTAAAAAAAAAGAAGTCAATACAGTGGATGAAAAAAAAAAAAAAGAACGATGTATGTTCTCTAGGACGGGTTCTCAACCTTGGCAACTTTAAGACTTGTGGACTTCAACTCCCAGAATTCCTCAGCCAGCTTTGCCAAGGTTGAGAACCCCTGTCTAGGACCAGAACAGGCTGGGGCGAAAGTGAAGGGAGGAGATTGGATTTATGTCGTTAACAGTATATATATGTTGCAATTGCAATGCTACTTTCAGTTCTTTAAGTTTCTTAAGGCTACCGTTTTTTTTTCTCTCTCTCTCTTTTTTTTTTTATCTTAAATGACTATTTGAAAATTGTTTCTTGGGATTAAAAAAAAAAATTCCAGTGACCTCTTACTATCTATGGAAAGAGATTATATAAATTTTGTCAAAAAGTAGTCTCTTTTGAAACAAGCTCCACTCCCCACTTATTATGGGTTTTTTTTCTCACCACTAGAGAATTGGTTTGCCCTTTACTGTTCCGTATAGCCCACAGCCCTGATTATCTCTCAGCCAAGTCTGATCCTGATTATTTTTTTGAGATCAGCCAAAGTTTGGCTTAAAAGCAGCTACCTGCTGTGCTTGCTCTTCTTATAAATTGTTTTATGATGGGCTTAAATTCCAAGATGGTATTACACAATATATTTGTACTGCAGTGCTTTCTATTTGCAAAAAGAATTGAAACAGGGTAGGCATCTGGCTATTTTGAAAAATTATAGCGGTAACATTGAACTTTACCACTCAGCAACAGGAGACTGGAAACTATAGAATTATTTTGCCCATAATCACTGGAGGGAATTTTGGATATAGAAAAGGGGAAATCACTTCAGTGAAGTACTGGTCTAATGCTTGCATGAGATATCTGTTGTGAAATATTGATTTTGGATTATGTAAACTGTACTTGTAATCTTCTTGGGTTAAGTAAATTGGTTATGTTTGCAAATATTAAATTGGGTAGGGGGATATAAACTAAAGCAGTGGTTCTCAACCTGTGGGTCGGGACCCCATTTGGGGTCGAACGACCATTTTACAGGGGTCGCCAAACAACGCAGTCCTCCATTTTCCCCCCTTTTCCTTAGCTGTGCTACTCCCTTTTATTCTATTGGCTTTTGAAAGCCAATAGAATAGACTCTCTTGAATAGAGTCTAATTCTATTGGCTTTCAAAAGCCAATAGGAATTGTCCAGGCTGTCTCTGCCCTGCTGAGCCCGCCAAAAGTCCCATTCTGCAAACGGTGCTGCACCAGCTGAATAGTCCTCTATTTACGACCGGTTGAGTAGTCCTCGACTTACGACCGGTTGGGGTCACAGCATTAAAAAGTTTGAGAATCCCTGAACTAAAGAGATAATGAAGAGCTCCAAAACAGGTCTCTCGAGTCAACGAATAGAAAATGGTCTAATACAGCAACTGTATTTTAAATTAGTTTATAAATTGCTGTTGTCCAATTAATAGAATATTTATTGTTTGTTTGACAGCTAACAACTCCATCTTTCTGGTTATTTCAAACCAGAAAATTTAACCCTCCAGTGGAAAAAATATATGTAATAGTGGCGAATATCTATAGCTCGGGCATAGGTTGAGGGTGAAAGTTCGTTCTCCAAGCTAAAAAATCCACAAGCTTGGAGAACGAAACTTCACTCTCCCCCCAAAAATATTCCATTGTAATGCTCTTTAGATTTGATCCCAAGAGCAAAGGCTTGGTCTTTGCACTTAGCCAAGATTAAGCAACATGATTTAGCAAGATTTTAAATAGCACACAAATGATCTGAGTGATACTTTTCTAAAATTGACATCCCCACATCCTTAAGCAATTTTTAAAATCTTGCTAAACTCTGTTGCTCAATTATGGCTTTTCTCCTTGACTAGCACTGTACAGTATTACAGTGGAGTAATTCTTATATCATCTGTAGGGCTGAGGGCAGATAGATCCCCCCCCTTTGTTTGGTATGATAAAATGAATCACCTGTGGTTTAGTTGGAAAGGGCATGATTTTGGGCCATAAAAAATGAAATAGAGATTAGGTGAATGGAGTCTGCACCTGGGGAGGTTTAGGAAAAGCACCCTGGAAGAAGGCATCAGCCAAATACTGCTATATTACTGCCAAGAAACTATGTGGGGGCATCTATGAAGTCACCAGAGATTGCTCAGCTTGAGAAAAAAGTATAAGTTGGTCCACGTATCTGTAGTATAATGGCTTGAGTTTTGCCTTTCTCATAGTTTTTTAAGGCATTCTCTAGTTTCCTTCCAGTTTGCAGGTGATTTTTATCCTCATCCATTTCCTCTTCCATTCTACAAAGAGAAGTTGAGGTTAAAGTCTGACTGTATTAGCTGATATGGTTAGTGAAGGTGGTTGTAAAATTAAACCCACCTTCTGTATAATCCTTTAAGGCAATTTTCGTCTTAGCAGTGATCTACCCCAAGAATTTCCGTATTCACCATACAGAAAATGTCTAATGAGATTATCCAAAGGTTACCTGCAGCAATTGGTGTGGTATGATAGACAACTCTGTAATAGGGCCCAGAATTGCTATTCTGAATGGACTTTGACTTTTGGCAAACAGCTAGAAAATTAGAACCAAAATAAATCACACAGGAGTACCAAACATCTTAAATGACTTATAAATGTCCCCAGCATCACATGAAGTTGGCTTCTGTCAATGGGGAACCCAGTAGGGAAGGTTGCAAGTCACAGTAATGTGATGTCTCATTTAATGACTGGGTGATTTGGTTAACAATTACAGCAAAAAGGTTGTAAAATCAAGTCTGGTCATGTTATGCCCTCTTAATCGCTTACCTCGCACACATGAAAAAAATCTAATAGTAACTTGGGGGCATGTAATGGTTTATGAAGGTATGGTTTGAAAGCTTTATTATGTTCTCAATACAAGGTAGGAATGTAGTCTTTTGTAAAAAGTATTATATTTCCTGCATGAAGCCTAGGTCCGGTTCTTTATACTAAGGTAAGAAATTTCCAAAAGGACTTGTGCTGAATTAAATCAATGTGACCCCCATGGAAAGGAACTTGTAGCGAGTTCTGGATTGAATTTTTGGTTTCCTTAAGCAGATTGCTGAAATGAGACCTATTCCAATAAGTCTTTGAAGAAGGGAACACGGCAAATCCACTTGTACTATATGAGTAAAGATGTGGTATCTTTCATCATAGCTATTTTTAAAGTTAATAAAAATGGCAAGGAACTTAAATATTTGTATGGAGGGACCACCATTGGATCAGGATATTCCATCTCCTCACTTTTTGAAGTATCTCAGCACTTCAAAGACTACCTAGTGATACTATATAGCAAACATGTCAAACTCATGATGTCATGTGATGTTGCGTAATGTATTGGGACTGTTTTGCCATTGCCGGCAATGGGGTGGGTGCGGCTTCTATATGATGCGTCCGGCCTGTGGCCTGGCAGTTTGACACCCCTGCTATATAGAAAGGGTGTGCAGCTTTTTTCAAAGTTTTTAAGTAGGTTTTAAAGGTAAAGGTGTGTGTGAGAGAGATCCCCAGAAGGGTATTGTTTCCATCCCTAATATTAAAATTATTTTTTAAAAAAACCCTGAAATCACATCATTGAAATGCTGTTGAATCTCAGCTGATCATGATGTTCTCTAGGATTTGTGCCAGGTTGCTAGCTATTTTATATAATTACTGCATTAAGATATAGTGCATGGATTATATTTAGATTAATACATTTTTCTATCCAGACTTAGCATTTCGTGACTAATTTGAATCTCACAATTGTCTTTTACATCTACGTGTTCTCTATCATTCAGCTATTGCTGTCAGTGTAAATACAACAGGGGCTTTCATGTTGATACAAACTCATGACTTAACTTCTGAAAACTTCACGTTTTAATTTGTGATTAAATAGAACTATGAGTGTGTCACTAATTCTTTTGTCTTCTCCATTAAATCAGAAATTGGTTGAATGGGCAGAATAGTGATTAGCTAAAAGAAGACACAAACAAATTTGTTCATTTTTACTGGTCTGTGTCTACACGTATCAGTACATAATTTTTTTAGAATTTTATAATTTATTTCTCTTCTTGGAGTAGAAGAACTGAATTACCCCAGAAAATAGTGGCAAAAGAGAAAGTGTTTTCCCAGGTTCTGTGTCATTTCAGGGTTGCATTAAATTCCAGAGGGTCAGTTTATTGGTATTGGTGAGGAGAATTTAAATCAACATTATCACTGGGAGTCGCCTGAGCAGAACATCTGGCAGTCAAGTGTTAAGGACATCCTTAAGGATTTTTACAGACTTGATCACAAGTGCCATTTTCCTCTTATTACATTGACTAATTTGAGATGAAGCAGATGGGAATTCTGTTAAGACTTTTGTTTTGACTTAATTGGAATGCAAACTAACTGCAGAGACGGTCAAACTTCTGTAAATTTGTCTTCTTAGAGACACACCCATCATATTAATTCAAATCCATTGTGTCTGTAATGGAGTGTTCCCATCCTCTCCCTCTTTTGCCTTCTTTCTACAGATGTGCAGAATCCTCCAGATGAGATTTTACTAATCAGGCGCAGATTACCAAGGGGAGGGGAGATGACGCTACTGATAGTACAGAAATGGTCTCTTGTCATAAATGTCCTACTAAGGCAGCGGTTCTCAACCTGTGGGTCGGGACCCCATTTGGGGTGGAACGACCATTTCACGGGGGTCGCCAAACAACGCAGTCCACCATTTTTCCCCCCTTTTCCTTAGCTGTGCTACTCCCTTCTATTGGCTTTCAAAAGCCAATCGGAATTGTCCAGGCTGTCTCTGCCCTGCTAAGCCCGCCAAAAGTCCCATTCTGCAAACGGTGCTGCACCAGTTGAGTAGTCCTCGACTTACGAACGGTTGGGGGTCGCGGCATTAAAAAGGTTGAGAACCACTGTACTAAGGTACTTTTATCCTTAGTGTTGAATTTATTTAATAAAAATCATAGGCCTCTTCTTTCATTTCCAGAAAATGATAAAGGACAGTACATCTCTCCTTTCCATGACATTCCAATATATGCAGACACTGACAAGGTAATTTAACAGGTTCCTTTTCTCCTTTCACCGGTTTCTCTGAACTATATGATTAAGTGCTAGATAGGTAATTAGTTCATCTTAAAGGAAAGAAATTGTATTGTATTGTATATATTTTAATAACAAGGCAACCATTACTTAACAGTTCACTTAGTGACCTTTCAGAGTTACAACATTGCTGAAAAAAGTGACTTATGACAGTTTTTCACACTTACGATCATTGCAGCATCCCCATGTCACATGATCAAAATTTGGATGCTGGACAATTGGTTCATACTTATGCAGTGTCCTGGGGTCATGTCATCATTTTTTGTAATTTTTTTTTTGACAAGCAAAATCAGTGGGAAAGCCAGATTCACTTAACAACTGTGGCAAGAAAAGTCTTAAAATGGGAGCAAAACTCACTTAACGTGTCTCACTTAGCAACAGAAATTTTGGAGTCAATTCTCATAAATCAAAAACTACCTGTAGTTTTATTGATCTTCATTGCTTAAGTAGGAGGAGTCTGAATTAAGTATTCTGGTGTAGAGTAAAAGAAATTCTGAAGCAGAATTGCAGCAGGAAATCTTAATTTAACTTATTCTGCTGGTTATAAATAATTATTTTAGTCATAGACTGAAGTTTGCTTGTTTTGCTGTAGAAACTGCTTCCAAGGGAAGAAAAATCTGAAATAATTCTATCTTCCCGCACTCAATGAAATATAGACTAAAGGGAGTGTTTCCTTGCTTTTAGACCAACTTCTATTGCATAATACAGAGAAAGTGAAAGCTTTGTTGCTAATTTTTTTGAAAGCTGATTTGATTTCCAAAATTAGTGTTGGGAATTTGGCTTCCACATTTTGAGAAATTGTTGGTATATAAGAGACATTTCCCTACTATTTATTTGGAATTTTCTCATCCTAATAACCAGTTTATTTTATATGATTTATGTGGATGTCTGTCTTATACTCTGGGTGGGTGTACAAGGATTGAAAACACACACTCAAAATCCCACAACATGTAACTGTAGAACCCAGGACAAATAATAACACTGATTAATTGAATATATACCATCAAATCGTTAACTCTTATAACTCCTTTTCCTGAAGGGAAAAAACATATTGGCAGCAGAGCTTGTCTAATCTTCACATCTGAGAAGGCCAACCAGATCCTCAATGAAAGGGCAACAAGGTTGGGGCCATCGGTTCTTAAACTATGGATTCGCATCCATAGTTTAAAAACTTGTGTAAAATTAGCTGCTTCAGCTGTAATAATATCCAATAAGCTGCATCATATAGAACTCAATTTTCATCTTTTCTGTCTCTGGTTTGCCATATATTGTGCTTTTTTAAATCCACATTTTAACACAACTGAACTGGGAAATTATTATAATTAGCTTACAAAAACAGAATAGTGTTTGAATATAATGTCTTTGTCCATCAGACTAAGAATATTTAGTTTGGAATGAACTGGTCTCAAGCTTGTAGCTAGGAGAGCTTTGGGTGGGAGGAATCCCTTAATTTCTTTCATCCTCCCAATTTTTATTAAATGGCGTCCTTGGCTGGCTTAAAACACTGCTATGCCAGACATCTGGATTAGCTACAGGCCTGATTTATGCTTCATTGGAATTTTATATACCTTTTATTCCAGCTGCTATAGGAACTCGGCAAATAATAACATTATGTTTTAGTGGTTCAGTGAAAGTGTCAAATTAAATATAATATTCAGGCTTCAAACAGAACAGAAATGTTCTTATGAACACATGGCCTCCAGGTTAGGCATCAATACTGCATGAACAGACAGTTGAGTTAATCAGAATTTGTTTATACTTCAAAAATGTAAGTGCCTCAAATGTACTTACTGCCACATTCTTTGTCAGCAGCCAGTTTCAATTTATAAAATAAATAGGAAAAAAGATGTGAGAAAAGAAGGCAAATGTTTGGAAGACTGAAAATCTGCATGCACTGACAGAGGCTTAAAGGAGTTCTGAGGATAAACAAGAATAGCCAGCTTTCAAGTTAGAATTGCAAGGTCATAACCCCAATACAGCTTATAATAGCTTTGTAGTAACATTTTGATTGCATGTCAGAGTTAGGTGAAATGCTGAAATAGGAAGCAGAATTCAAAATTCTACCTAGAACAAAAGCATACATTATTATCTCTAATCTCTAGCACTTTCCAATATTCATGTTGTCTTTATAAACTTAATAGAATTGTAATTCATTCTGGTTTTGGAAACATTTTAAATTTATTCCTACCTGGGTTGTTTCCATCATTATATTCCAAGTACATATTGCTTCACTGAACCATGTAAAAATGATCTGAAATTTTATAAAACAATGTTCAATATCTTCTGTTTCTTTTGAAATTTTGCTAAAATTATTGATCTTTCCTGACTTGCAGAATTTGATGATGATTCTTCTCAATGGTTTCTTGAAGCATTTCTGCCAAATAGTTGCTTAACAGCATAAATGGACAGACCTAGACAGTTGAAAGGTCTTTTAAATAACTTAATCTTTGAAGGAGAAAAATTAGCCTAAACTGTGTTGTGTTATAATGTAATCTAATCTGCACTCTTGTCTTTAAGCTTATGGAAAAACAAGATTAGGCTTCAGGACTGCTTAAATCCTTTTAATGGGCAGTGAATAATCCAAGAATAAACTGATAAGTAGGAACTGGCTCCAGATGTGCATAGCCCATATATTCTGTTTTCCAGTAATTATTCTGTTATTGCCTTCTCAAGTGTATGAAAGATACTTGCTGTTGCATTACCAAATGGGAAGATTTTGGGGCTGTCCCCAGTGCTGTGGTGTCAATAAAGTTTTGTGTCTGAATATCCAGAGAGCCATCTCCCTTAATTAATAAAACAAACTCCAAGCTTCTTTTTCTTAAAAGTCAAGGGTTTCTTTTCATGCTAGGTAAGGAAAAATGAGCATCTCCTCCCAATTGAAAGTTATATTTGGATAATAGCTAACACTCTGGGCAAAATTTGTGGGCAGGAAGGAAAAAAATGCATAGTTATAAAATTCATGGGAATGGAAATATTTCAGGGAGTTCCATGGGATGATGATTGCTGGATGACAATTCAGGAAGGATGACATTTCTCTGTGTTATATTTTATATGTACTTTGCTGAATTTATGTTCTTTTCAGCATGTCTTCAACATGGTTGTGGAAATACCTCGATGGACCAATGCAAAGATGGAGGTAATACAACTAGAGCACTGTAATTGATGGCTTCATTAATTACTTCATCAAAAAATAGTTTATAGCTAGTCCTCGACTTATAACAGTTTGTTTAGTGACCGTTCAAAGTTACAGTGACACTGAAAAATGTACTTATGACCACATTTCATACTTATGACCATGGTAGCATCCCCATAGTCACGTGATCAAAATTCAGACACTTGGCAACTGATTCATATTTATGACGGTTGCAGTGTCCCAGGGTCACGTGATCCCCTTTTACAGCCTTCTGACAAGCAGTGTCAATGGGGAAGCCAGATTCACTTAACAACCGTGTTACTAACTTAACAGCGGCAGTGTTTCACTTAACAACTGTGGTAAGAAATGTTGTAAAATGGGGCAAAATTCAGTTAACAACTGTCTTGCTTAGCAACAGAAATTTTGGGCTCAGTTGGTCGAAGTTGAGGACTAAGTATATTAAATTTCAATATCCCTGCTATTAATAATATATAATCTAGTACAGGGGTCTTCAAACTTGGCCCTTTTATGACTTGTGGACTTCAACTCCGAGAATTCCTCAGCCAGGTGTGCCGGGCTGAGGAATTCTGGGAGTTGAAGTCCACAAGTCATAAAAGGGTCAAGTTTGAAGACCCCTGATCTAGTAAGTTTTTTTAAAGCTAAAGTCCTATGTATATGTATGTGGAACTTTTTCCAATAAAACACATTCTCTCTGTTTTTGTATGTATTTATGGTTCCTATCATTCTGGCTATTTATCTTGCTAGAAATATTAAGTAAAACATCTACAAAGAAAGTTACCTTTTTTCTTAAAGGCTTTTTTAAAAATTGAGTACTAAACTAAGTAAATTCTGTTTTAGATTGCAACTAAGGATCCTCTAAATCCAATTAAACAAGATGTGAAGAAAGGAAAGCTACGTTACGTTGCTAATGTATTTCCCCACAAGGGATATATCTGGAACTATGGCGCTATTCCACAGGTACTCTAATATTACCCTATCTTTTTTATGAATTTCAATAACAAACAACTCTAATGAAGGGGAACTTTGTACCACTGCATAGACAACTGTGGGCAAGCTCTCTGGAGGAAGAAGAAAACATTTTAGGTTGTAAACAAGTAAGCTGCCTATGTTAGAACAGAAAGAACAGCTTTATTAAAGTATAAGAAGCCTTAAAAATACAGCGAGCTCTCATAAAGCCAGCATAGATTGACTGAATTAAACCAATTTGATAGTAATAATAGGAATGCTCCATGGATCAATTTTGGTTTAATATTTATTCAATCGATGCTGTCTTTTAAATTTGTCCATGGAAACTATATCAAATTCTTAACATTTATTCCTATAGCATAATTGTTGTATTTTAATAATAATAACTCATTAAATGTATTTATTATTAAATAAATAAATAATAACCCATTTAATGTATTTATTATTAAAATTTTAATAATAATAAATCCATTTCACAGACTAGTAGAGCGAAATGGGTGTCCATCAGAGCAGAACGTCAGGATTTTTACACATGCATATTTTAGGTATTTTATGCACAATCTTGTGGGTGCACAAGGTAATACTGTGGATAGATTTTGTTTCCATTGTATCCAAACCCGAGATATATTGAAATGGAGTGCTTTTATTATTGTTTTTTTCTGTCAATTTCCTTCTGCCTGATCTTTCTCTTCTTCTGTTACTTATGGAAAAGATAATGTTCCTTCCCTTTTCCTTTGGACTTGTTGGCTTTGTGATATTTTATTGTTAACCTCTTTCTTAGGTTTCAAAGCTGTCTTGATCATAAGTTCACTTTTCAATAGAAAATGGCCCATAACTTGCTTTGTATTATCTCATTAAGAATTTATTCTGAAATCCCTTTTATTCCACAAGCTGGTATCCCTGATGCTCCGGATGGGCTAGCATGTGTTCTTATATGAAATACAAAGCGTTCCAGAACTGTCTCTGCTAGATTTTCACAACACTGTTTCTTCAACTGGAAGGAAGTTAGGTCAACTTCTATTAAAGCAGTCCTGAACTATAGTTTCCTGTTAGCAAGCGTTGCCCCTGCAATCACCTTGGATGTGAGATAACCTCTTTACTTTGAAGTAACTCAGATTTCATGTGAAGTCCTTTGGATTCTGTATTGAATCCAATTAAACAAGATGTGAAGAAAGGAAAGCTACATTACGTTGCTAATGTATTTCCCCATAAGGGATATATCCGGAACTACGGCGCTCAGATTGTATAGTGCTTTGGATTCTATATTGAATTTTTTTTGCATTTTATATGTTCATAAACAATACTTGCATTGCCCTAGCGAGAAAATGCATCTTTTCCTATATTCTTAAAAACATGAGTTTCTCGAAATATCGACAAGTAGTCCTTGTCTTACGAGCATAATTGAGCTTGGCAATAACAGTCGTAAGTCATGATAGTCATAAAATGGGTTACCACATGACTGGACCCATTTTTATTTCCTGTTTTATAGTGTTTGTGAAGCAAATGCGGTGGTCATAAACTTGTTCACTATGCACTGTTTTTGTTGGAAACCGATGCAAATACCAGTTTCTGGCAAAACGGTCATAAATCGCAGTCATATGGTCACAAGGCAATGCAAATGGTCATAAATGCAGGCCAGTTGCCAAGTGCTCAAAATGTGGTGATATCACTGTGGAGTGGTGGCATCAGAACTTTGAATCCGGGTCTTAAGTCCCTTTGGGGGGGGGGTCCATTATATTTATTTATTTATTTATGAGACTTATATACCGCTTATATCTTTGAAAGGTGGTTACAAATTCCTTGTTTTCTTGTTCTTCTAGCCAAAGAAATCACAACTATCGGCTACACAATTCTGTATAGCTGTCGGTGGATAAAGAACAGTTTTCAATTCCTTTATAGAATATCTAAAGTGCAAAATACTTTAACATGGTACAGTTTTAAATTTGAATTGAGCAGCCCTGTGCTGAGATGAAAGGAAGGTTGTGCAGCAAGTAGTTAAAGGAAACAGTATTTATTTTGTAGACGTGGGAAGATCCAGTGCATAAAGATGAAAATACCAACTGTGGTGGAGACAATGATCCAATCGACGTTTGTGAAATTGGAGACAAGGTAACAAAATACTTTTCATGTGGAAATTTGGAATTTGCTAACCATCTTTGAAATATTGCCCGTATGTTACTGTGAAGATATTTGCAATCGGGCTGTTCATCTAGCTGTCACTATAAATATACAGAAAAGTGACTGATCTTTACATGTAGAATTCTTGATTAACAACCACTTGTTCACCAACCATTCAAAGTTATGTTGGCACTGAACAAGTGATTGTTACAACTGACCCTTGAAGTTCCAGCTGTCCAAGCATGATCATGTGATCACGATCTGGGCTCTCAGCAACTGTCTCAGACTTATGATGATTGCAGCATCCCGTGATTACATGATCATAATTTATGACTTTCCTTGCCAGTTTCCCACAAGCAAAGTCAGTGGGAAAGGCAGTGGGGAAAGTTGCAAGTTGCTCAGGTAAATCTCATCCATCCGCATAATTCCCATAGCCTTGTGCCTCTCCAGCCACTCATACACTCTCCCCACCCCCTGGTAGGAAGCACACCAAGCTTGCTTTCTTCTACCCAGCAGTAGCCATTTGCCTGCCAGCTAGTCTGCCTATGAACCACCTGGAACTTGCAACTTCCTGCCAACTTCCCCACTGATTTTGATTGTTGGAAGCCAGCAAAAAATTGCAAGGCGTGCTCCCTTAACAGCTCACAATCCTTGGATCCTCACTTAATGAGGGCAATAGAGGCTGCTAAGTGTTGCAGTCACATAACATTGTGCTTTCCGACTACATTGCTTAACAGTGAAAATTCCAATCCCGATTGCCATCGTAACTTGAGGATTACCTGTATAGAAAATGTTTAAAGAACTTTAAAGTTTATGATAGGAAGCATATTAGCTCAATGCAATTTTAACATTTCATAAATTCTACTGGTGGGGGAGAGGGATTATATTTCAAAATGGCAAGAATAGTCTTTGAAACAATAAGGGCTTATCCATCCTGTGTCCCATTAATTTAGTGGTTCTTAAACTGTTTAACCCAATTGTATCCCTTCTCTCAAATAATGTCATTACTTTCCCACAAAACAAAAGGAGAACACCACAAATTGTTGATAAATCCCCAGATTCTGTTGTTTTAATGCAGTGTCTTGGCAGTTGCAGTCCCAAACTGGATTTTTGGCTCACAAACAAGCAGTTACAAATTGCTCCATTGCTCAAGTTATTGCGTTTTAAGAAGTTAGCAAAGAGCCTGCCAGATGCAGAAAGTACTAATCTTTCAATACATCATTATATATTTTGGTGCAACTACAGCATTAGAGCTAAAATGTCATGGAATGCAAACATATGCCCATTTCTATATATTTCTAAATATTTAAATACTACATGGAAAGCAAAACAAGCCCAGTGCTTATACAGTATCGTATCGGTTTGAAGATATTACTGTGAAGGCATTTCTTGGAAGAATGTAGTATGCAATGAAAATTACAATCCTAGTTGGAAATAATCAAGTAAGACTTTCCTCTTCACCTGAGAAAAGCTCGTCTACAGAAATTGTTGTCCAAAATCAGCCTCTGAATAGACTGCTGATTTGGTTGAAATATGAACACTGGAATTTTTCCCACAAAGTTCAGGTTGCCGAGCAGTTAGGCAGAAGAGGAAATATTGTTACTTCACCTGTTCTGGCTTAGTAGGACCAGCTGTGTGATTCATGCCTAACGAGTAAATTTATTCAAACAGGTGTGCAACAGAGGTGAAATAATTCAAGTGAAAGTTTTGGGTACGCTGGCATTGATCGATGAGGGTGAAACCGATTGGAAGATCATTGCAATCAACGTTAATGACCCTGAAGCTGCTAATATGAATAGTAAGTAGCTTTGAAGTGAGAATGCAGACACATTTGTGCCTTACCTTTTCCAGCTTTGAAATTCCACATGTGGAAAGTGGGTAACTGATACCAAGTAAGACTGGTGTTCTACTCTTTGGGCCATTCCATTGTGAAAGACTACAGGTAGTCCTTGACTTAACAACGCGACCATGGGGATGTTGCAATGGTGGTAAGTCTGAAAAATGGTCACAAATCACTTTTTTCAGCGCTGTTGTAACTTTGAACGGTCTAAGTCAGGGGTAGGCAACCTTGGTTCTTTTATGACTCGTGGACTTCAGCTCCCAGAATTCCTGAGCCAGCATTGCTCAGCTTGGAAACCTCTCCTTTCCCCTCAGCATGGCTGGCTCAGGAATTCTGGGAGTTGAAGTCCACGAGTCATAAAAGAGCCAAGGTCGCCTACCCCTGACTTAGACCGTTCAAAGTTACAACAGTGCTGAAAAAAGGGATTTGTGACCATTTTTCAGACTTACCACCATTGCAACATCCCCATGGTCACGTGATTTACATGTGGATGCTTGACAACTGACTCACATTTATGATAGTTACAGTGTCCCGGGCTCATGGGATCTCCTTTTGCGACCTTCTGACAAGCCAAGTCGACGAGGAAACCAGATTCACTTAACAACCATGTTACTAATTTAACAGCTGCCATGATTCACTTAACAAATGTGGCAAGAAAAGCCATAAAATGGGGCAAAACTCATTTAACAAATTTCTCACTTAGCAACATAAATTTTGGCCTCAATTGTGGCTGTACGTTGAGGACTACCTGCACCTGTATATAAATAGCTTTCATGCAAAGTTGAACTTCATTTTTTTTTATTATTATTATTGAAAATTTTTATAAATTTTTACAAAAAAAACAAAATAACAATACAGAAACGAAAAACAACCTATACAGAAAAAAAAACTAAACATAACATAACAAAACTCCCCTTCCCCACCCCCCCAAAACGCCCACCCCCTTCCCCCCCCCGAGCTTCCCAGAGCAGAATATAGGCTTAATTTAAAAAGAATTAGAAAAGTTATATATATATATATATAAAAAAAAGAAAATATAACACTGAGATATATGTATATATATATAAAAATAAAAATAAAAGTTATGAAAAAGCTATGTGATATTTTTTTATATCCAATTTAAATTGTATAAATTTTATCCATTTATCCCAAACAGCAAGAAATTTCTCTTGCGTTTGTTCCTTTAAGAAAGCCGAAATCTTTGCCATTTCCGCCAAATAAGACACTTTAAGGAACCATTCCTGCATTGTAGGCAAAGATTCCTTCTTCCAGTATTGTCCTACTAACAGCCTTGCGGCTGTAATCAAATTTAACATCAATATAACCTCCTTTGTATCACAATCAATAACTATACCTAACAAAAATAATTGTGGAGTAAATTTTATCCTCCTTCTAAAAATTCTCTGAATATTCCACCATATCTTAATCCAAAAGGCTTTTATCTCTCTGCACGACCACCAAATGTGATAATAGGTAGCATCCAAACAACCACATCTCCAACATTTAGGCTGTAAGTCAGGGTACATGAAAGACACTTTTTGTGGATCAAGGTGCCATCTATAAAACATTTTATAAAAATTCTCCCTTAAATTCTGTGCTTGTGTAAATTTGACATTTCTCACCCAAATGGTTTCCCAGGTATCCAATGGAACTGGTTCACTAAAGTTCTGCGCCCATCTAATCATACAATCTTTAATTAATTCCGTTTCTGAGTCCAATTCAACTAGAACCCCATAAATTCTCTTAATATGAGTTTGTCTTTGATCCTTCACTTGCTTAATAAAATTTTCATCTTCTCTAAGAAAACCCACCTTACAATCCACCTTCCATCTATCTGCTAATTGTCTGTATTGAAACCAAGAATAAATATTATTTTCTTGTGCTAACTCTTCCCGTGATTTTAACTGCCAATTTTGTCCGTCCCATCTGAGTAGCTGTCTGTAAGACACCATATCCATTTTAACACCCCTTTTTATTCCTTCTATCCCATGCCAAGGTATAGCCCATAATGGTACTTTAAAATCTCTTTTATAATATTTTCTCCAAATCCTAAGTAAGGAAATTCTTATAATGTGAGATTTGAAAGCCCAGTCCACTTTTTTATTGAATATTAAATAGGTATGCCACCCAAAGAGTAAGTCCCATCCCTCTAGATGGAGTATCTCAAGATTTGTCAAATTTACCCAGTCACTAATTAATGTTAAAACCACCGCATCATAGTATAATTTCAAATTCGGTACCTTGAGTCCACCTCTCTCACGGAAGTCTTGCATGATTTTAAACTTAACCCTTGGCTTTTTCCCTGCCCAAATGAATTTATTGAGGCCTTTCTGCCATTCACTTAAATTAATCTCATTCTTCAAAATCGGTAACATTTGGAACAAAAAAAGGAACTTGGGTAGAACATTCATTTTTATCACTGCAATTCTTCCCATGAGAGATAATTGCAACTTCTCCCAATTCTTCAAGTCCTTCTGTACACTAGCCCACAACCTTTCATAGTTATTTTTAAATAATTTTGCATTAGAAACAGATAACATCACCCCCAAATATTTTACCTTATTGACAATTTCAAAACCCGTCAAGTTAGCCAGAGTTTGCTTCTCCTGAGTAGTCATATTTTTGGATAAGATTTTAGTCTTATTAACATTAATCTTAAAACCCGAAACCAAACCATAATAATGGATCACCTGTAGTAACTTTACTGCAGAATGGGTAGGTTGCGACAAAGTAACCACCAAGTCGTCCGCAAAAGCTCTTAACTTATATTCTTTTTTGTTAACTTGTATTCCTTTAATTTCCTGCGACTCTCGAATTTTGATCAACAGTATTTCCAGTGTTAAAACAAACAACAACGGTGATAATGGACATCCCTGCCTAGTACCTTTCTCTATTGTAAAAACCTCTGACAAACCTCCATTGACAATAAGTTGTGCCGTTTGTTTTTGATATATTACCGTAAGAGCTTGTAATATCTTTTCACCAAAGTTCATCTCTTCAATTACTCTTAGCATAAAATGCCAATTCAGTTGATCAAAAGCTTTTTCAGCATCTAAAAATATCAGCCCTGTGGGGACTTGGTTGTTCTTGTCTAGATATTCTAATAAATTAATAATTTGTCTAACATTGTTTTTCATGTACCTACCAGTTATAAACCCAGATTGGTCTTTATGCACAAGATGATGCACAACCCTCATAAGCCTATTTACTAGGATTTTAACAAATATCTTATAGTCAACATTTAAAAGAGATATAGGTCTATAATTCTTTGGTAAAGTAAGATCTTGATCCTCCTTTGGAATCAAAGATATAAAAACACTACGCCATGAGGGAGGAATCTCTGAGCCCTGTAAGATATCATTAAAAAGATCACCTAATGGTTGGATCATCTCCTCCATTAAAGCTTTATAATAAACAGCTGTCAGTCCATCCGTACCCGGTGCTTTCCCTGGTTTCAATTGCTTAATTGTTATCACAATTTCCTCTTTAGTAATTAAGCCATTAATTTCATGTTTCTGATCCTCTGTCAATTTGGGAAAGCTAGCCTCGCTTAAGTATTTATTTATATCTAAGATTTGCACATTAGTAGATTTGTATAGTTTTTGGTAATAGTCTAAAAAAGATCTCTTGATCAATTCCTTCTGAAAAACTAATTTACCCTTATAATTTATTTTATCTATTATTCTCTGTCTCTGTTTCTTTCTTAATTGATAGGCCAGCCATCTCCCTGGTTTATTGGCATTACAAAATGTACTTTGTTTCATAAACAATAAGTTAGTTGCAGCTTGGTCCGCCAACAACATATTAAATTGTGTTCTTAACAACTTTATAGATTCTTTAATGCTTTCATCTGAAGGATTTAAAATCAAAGACTTTTCTTTTAATTTAATTTCATCTTCCAATTCTTTACGTTTCTGAGTCTGCTTTTGCTTGTGAAAATTATTCATTTTTATCAAGATCCCACGCATAAATGCTTTATCTGCATCCCATACCATTGACATTGAAGTCCCCTTATACATATTTAAAGCAAAATAATCCTTTAAACACTCCTTTAACTTTTGAACATTCTTTTCTTGTCTGAATAAGTTTTCATTCACCCTCCGGGATCTTCTCTCCTCTTTTTCTTGAATCAGCTCCATCCAAACTGGACTATGATCCGTCAACGATCTAGGAAAAATCTTTACATTCTTTACTCTATTATATAAGTCCGTTGTAATAAAAAAAAAGTCAATTCTTGAAAAGGATTGGTGTCTGTCCGAAAAAAAAGTAAAGTCTCTCTCCTCTTGATTACATTCCCGCCAATAATCCCTTAATTCCCAATCCTCCTTCATATCAAAAAAAGCTTTAGGTAATTTTGCCTGTTTAAAAAGAGGGGAAGAACCTTTCTTATCCCTTTGTATATCTAAGACACCATTCCAATCACCCATTAATACCACGGATCTATAGTCCAGCAAAGTTATTTTTTGATGTAACAATCTATAAAATTGTTCCTGTTGGTGATTTGGTGCATATAGTCCCACTATAAGTATTTTCTTACCATATAAACCAAGTTCAATCATCACATATCTTCCTTGGGGATCTGATTCTACCAGACAAGCTGGTAAATTTTGCTTCACATAAATAACCACTCCCCCCTTTTTCCCAGGAGCAGAAGATACAAAATGAGATCCCAGACGGGTGTTAACTAAATACTTCTGATCCTTAAGTAAAATATGAGTTTCCTGTAAGCAAATAACATCATTGTTATGTTGCTTTAAATAGTAAAAAATTTTCCTTCTTTTCTGTGGGGAATTCAAACCGTTAACATTCCAGGTCAGAAACTTTGCCATCTCCCTCATCCAGGAGCCTGGAGAAGACTCCCTGGAGATCTGCCATTGCTGCAAGTGTTGCAGAACTCTTGGGTCTTGCTCCTCCCACCGGCAATGAAACACTTTCAGAAGAAGATTCTTTAGTCTCTCTCTTGCGTTGCTCCTTCTCCTTACGTCTATATGCTGCACGGGTCATCCTCTGCTCTTTAACCTCTGTTTGACGTTGCCATTCAGCTTGCAACATCCCAGCAGAGACCAGACCCAGTGCTTCAGATTGCTGTTTCAACTCTTTACCACTCAGAGGTTTCTGAACAGATGAAGCTGAGCCTGCTCCCAGGACCGTGTTGTAGAACTCTTTGGCTTTATCAACCGTATTCAACCTATAACGCATCCCCGCATGGCTCAGAACAATACCCGTCGGGATCTCCCATCTAAATGGCATCAATCTGGCTTTAAGCTCATTAACTAGGAAAGCAAAATCTTTCCTGTTTCTTAAAATTTTTGATGGGATTTCCTTTAAAATGATGATATCTTGGGCTGCAATCTGGAATCTCTTATTATAAAAAGCTTGTATAATTTCATTACGCAGAGACTTCTTTGTAAAATAAATCACAACATCTCTAGGCAAATTCTTCTGCTTCGCAATCCAGGAGTTAACTCTGTAGATTTTTTCCACTTCTCTGCGTAATTCTCCTTTATCCATATTCATAGCAACAGCTAAATCAGTAAGCACCATCTCCATCAGGTCTTGATTCATGTCTTCCTTAAGACCCCTGATCCTCAGGGCATGCTCCAGCTCTCTGTACTGAGACATAAGGATATCTTCTTGTGAAATCTCCATCTTCCTTTCCATATCTTGGAATTTATCCTCAAAAGAGTCAACTTTGTCTGCCACTTCCTCCACTCTCGGGTCCAGCTTCACCACCACCGTAGCCAAGCCTGATACAGCTGCAACTATATCTTGCCACAAGATGGTATTATTGTCTTCTAATGAGACCTTCATCCCACTTAACTCTTCTTTAATTTCAGATTTAATCTGTGTAACAAGTTGCTTCATTTCATCTCTCATTTGGGATACAACATCTCCCATTATACCTTTAATCTCTTGTGCTGAGAGACCTGGCAAAGGAGGGGAGGGTGGTCACTGGGTCGGTGGTGCATGTTTGGGTTGTTGTTGTGGTTGTTGTGCAATTAAAGTTGTGGGAGAGGAAACCACCTTAGGTGTTATAGAAGGCGGCTGTCTCTTTGAAGCCATTTTATGAAACACAGTTCTCTCTTCCCTTCTCCTCCAGAAAAAAAAAGGGGAGGAGGGAAACAGAATTTTAAAAAAAGGCAAAAATACTATAATCCTTAAAAGTCCGAAAAAGAAAAGGGAAAAAATCAAAAGAGAAATCCAAAACCAAGAACAAAGAGATCAAAAACAGTCATTTAAGTCCAGTACTTTAAGAACAAAGAGACAAAAAAAAAAACTCCGACACTTTCAAAACGCCATCTTATTTTCTCTCTCCATGCCAGCAAGAAAGAACAAAGGAAAGGTAGCCAAAACTAACTAAAAGAAAGAAATAAAACACTAAACTAAAAAAGAATCCTTTAGACCGCTCTGTCCGCTTCAAAAGTTACTCACCAAGACACTGTAATTGCGGAGATAGAGGCGGCGGTTTCTTTTGCTTCCAAAGAAGCAAAAACAGCTGGGAGGCGGAGATCAGCAGGAGCTCCGAGGGAACACTCCTTCCACCCCCTCTAGGAATAAATCCAGAGGGGGTTCAGGGATTCTACCTCTACTCCTGCATTCTCTATCCCTTCCCTTTGCCCGGGAAGGGGATTCCGAGCCGCGGGCCAGCTGATACGCGCTGTGCTCCGTGGTTCTGACACCTTCCCAGCTGGACGGCTACTAAGTAGCCGCCATCGCCGTCGCCCCGTACCGGAAGCTCACGGTTGAACTTCATTTTTGAGTACTATATTGATCTGATCCCCTTTTGGCTTCCTACTCTTACATTTGAAATATCCCTAGTTAATGCCATCGATGTAGAGTAGAATTCTTGATGGAATATAGGCTGATTTTTATGGGAATGGTCACATTTCTTCTGTAAGACATTCCCCAGGGAAATCTAAGAATAAAATATATTGGGACACTCAAGCAAAACCTAGCAGATTCTGAATATATGCCTTTTAAAAATTTAAGATATTGATGATGTCAGAAGAATTAAGCCTGGATACCTGGAAGCAACTGTGGACTGGTTTAGACGATACAAAGTACCTGATGGGAAGCCAGAAAACCAGTTTGCATTCAATGGAGAATTGAAAGATAGGGTATGTATATATTTTGTCTACTACTGGCCACTGTTGGAAACTGCTTGCACTTTTCCCGCAAATAATGCCAAAAGTTACGAAAGTATGTGTCAGAATCCAATTATACTTCATCTCCAGTTATCAATTATAGAAAACCCCATTTCTGCCCTCTCTGGATTCTGTCATAAAGAAAGAGAAGGGGGTGAACAAAGAGGCTTTATTGCCCTCACTTCCTTCGGTACAACTTCAAAGGGATTGAATGTGGTTAGCACCAAAAGGCCTTATCATAACAAAGGAGGCTATTTACCTTTCATGTAGTTTATCTGAAGTCTCCATCCAGTCGGCAGAAAGGAAAAAAGGGGTGGGATTGTGATGCCTGAAACTGTCACTGGAAGAGGGGGGTGATTGGGTGGGACTACTGGGGAACCCCTTAAAACCTCGAATGGGAGAGCTTGAACCCCAAGTCCTGTCTAGAACGCCTGCAACCATTTTCTCTTAATAAAGGATTCCTGTTGGAAGAATTATTCCAAGAGTTCTGTCTTCTTAAGATGCAAAGTGGGGTGGGTCCTTACATTAGACAGGACTTGCAAAATTAATCCACCTGGAAGGGAGACCCTTGCCGGGGGATTTTGCAAAAAATTACCATGTCAGACAATGGAGCAAGAAAGGGGGAAAACTCCCTGGAAAGAGAGCCGCTGACCCAATTGGAACCTTGCCAGATGTTGGGATCCAAGAGGTCAGATTCCTCAGGAGAAGAAGTGGTGGAGACACGGGACCACAAGCCTCGCTGGTCAATGGGCGTTGGAAAGAAAAGTGAGTGGGGAAAGGAATCAAGAAAGGTGACCCTGAGACGGGGGACCAAGCAACCAGAATGGAAGCAGGAGATGGAGAAATCCCGGCACGCAAGTGAAGAGGGAGAAAGCTGGGCACCATACTCAGACTGGATCCTAGAGAAAGCTATTGACCTGATGAAGAGAACTCTCAGCTCCCTAAGAGAGGAGAATCCTGAGCCCTACGGCCGCCCCAGCTCCTGGAGCTGCAAAGGGAGAGACATCGAGGGGGACGTGGAACCTGCAACCCCGGGGACATCTACTGATCCAGTAGTCCCCACCCCCGACTGGACCACAGATGGCAATCTGGACAGAAGACACTACCACCAACAACGGAGGCACCGATCCATTCCAAGACGTCCGCCGTTGGAGGTGAAATTCAAAGGGGAGCCAACATGCTTGGGGTTTTTCCTAACCCAAGTCCTCAGCTACATGAAGGAATATGGGCAGGACATCCCCAGCGACAAAGCCCGCATCCGGATCGTGCAATCTGCCCTGGATGGACCGGCTGCAGATTGGGTGGTGAACTTGCATGACTCCAGTGCCCCAGAACTCAGTAACTTCAACCGTTTCATGTCCTCTCTGAGAAGATGATTTGAAGACCCCCTGGCTGATCGCAAAGCCCGTGAAAGGATAAAGACGATGAGGCAAGGCAAACGCCCGGTGGCTGAATATACACAAGAATTCCGGGCCATTGCCAGCAAACTGAATTGGCCAGAAGATATCCTCCTTAGCCATTTCAAAGACGGACTAAATTATGACCTATATGACGCTTGCCTGCCCCGAGGGGACCCACACGAACTTGAGAAATGGTACATCTTGGCAGAGGAAGCAGAGATCGACATATTGAAGAGACACCGCCGAGGAAAACAATGGAGCCGCCCCCCGCCTGAGCTGACACACGAACCGGTGAAATCATCGGCTACAGCCAAGAAGCAAATGGGGTGTTTCAAGTGCGGAAGAGAAGGGCATCGAGCTGTAGAATGCTGCTCCAAAGCCCCCCAGCACAACCCAGACAGATCCCCAATCAACAAATCCGGAAAGTCTTCAGCTAAGCCAAAAGAAACTGCCATGAGAATGATGGAAATTGCAGAACCCCCCCCCCACTTCTGCTCACCAAGGGGAAAGAACTCCAGCCTCCACCACAGGGCCAGTGGATGCCTCAGAAGACAGCTCGGAGGGCGAACCCCTGGTAAGTGGACACATCACACCCATCCTCAAGACAGTGACTATATTAATCCCCCCCATGCCCGAAGCTGTGAAGGTGAAAGCCTTAATAGACTCTGGCTGCACCCGCTGCCTCATTAGCCCAACACTAGTGGGTAATCTGGGCATCCCATCGAGGAGACTGGAACAAACCAATCTCATTTGGCCAGTAAGATAGATCCATAGCAGGGGGGGGCAGCTACCCTAGCCCCTCTCCCTGGGCAAACATGAAGAGGACATAACGTTTGTGGTGACCCCAGGCATGGAATGCCCAATGATTCTAGGGATGGAATGGTTGAAAAAATGGAAACCCTGGGTAAATTGGAGGACGACAGAAATCAAATTCCCGAAGGGGGACCCTATGGACTTAAAACCCCAAGGGAGGCTACCAGAATCAAGAATAGAAAAAGCATCCATAGGAGAGGAAAAAAGATTAACAGAAATACCAGAGGAATATAGAGACCTTGCTGAAGTTTTCAGTGAGGAGAGGGCGAATGAGCTCCCCCCCCACCGACCCACAGACTGTACCATTGAATTCAAGCCTGGGGCAAAACTCCCGAAGCCCAGATTATACTCCATGAGCCCAAAGGAGAAGGAGGAAATGGAAAGATTCATAAAAAAAAACCTAGAGAGAGGTTTCATTGAGCCAGCCAAGCCTAAAGTGGCTGCCCCGGTCCTTTTTAGAGAGAAGAAGGATGGCTCTTTATGTTTATGCGTGGATTATAGGGCCCTGAATACAATCAGTGAAAGCAACCTATACCCTCTGCCCCTCATGAAAGACATGCTGTCACACCTATTGAAAGGGAAATTTTTTTCTAAACTAGACCTAAGGGAAGCTTACTATCGCATGAGAATTAAGGAAGGGGACGAATGGAAGACTGCATTTAACTGCCCCATGGGGTGCTATCAATTCAAAGTCTTGCCATTTGGATTACAAGGGGGCCCTGCAGTCTTTATGCAATTAATCAATGACGTTCTAAGGGAGCACCTATTTAAGGGGGTCCTTGTTTACTTGGACGACATTCTTATCTTCACCGAAACAAAAGAGGAACATGTCAACCTTGTCAGAGCGGTTTTAAAGAAGCTGCGAGCCGCCCACCTATATGCCAAACTCTCAAAATGCAAATTCCACCAGGAAAGGATAGACTACCTAGGTTATCGCATATCCCCCCAGGGCATTGAAATGGACCCAGAGAAGGTCAGAGCAGTATTAGATTGGGCACCACCCTGCACAAGAAAGCAACTACAAAGTTTCCTGGGCTTTGCAAACTTTTACCGCCAATTCATCCCCTCATTTGCCCAGATAGCCTTGCCCCTCACTAACTTACTAAAAACGAAGGGAGCATCCTCAGTAAAACCTAGCCAGCCACTAACATGGACAATGGAGTGCCAAGCAGCGTTTGAGAGACTAAAGAGACTTTTTTCTGCCGAACCAGTACTAAGGCACCCAGACATGGACAAGCCCTTCGTAATACAGGCAGATGCAAGTGATGTGGCAGTGGGGGCTGTTCTATTACAAGAAAACAATGAAGGGGTATTGCAACCCTGTGCATATACATCCAAGAAATTCACGGAAACAGAACAGCGCTGGCCCGTATGGGAGAAGGAGGCTTATGGGATATGTTGGGCATCACTCACGTGGCGACAGTTCCTGGATGGCAACAAAATCCCCTTCCAGGTGTGGACTGATCACAAAAATTTGGAAGCCCTGAAAACGTCCAGGAAACTCAATCCAAAACAAGCCCGCTCGTCCCAGCATTTTCACCAGTTCCAATTTAAGCTCAAACATGTACCAGGGAGAAAGAACTTCCTGGCAGATGCACTATCTCGCATGCCCCAATATAACAGCGCACGAACCACAGACTCTAGACCAATAATGGCAGAGTCACAACTGGCAGCACCAGTAACCACAAGAATCCAAGCCAAATTAAAACCACAGCTGGACAGCCAAACTGGAATTGAATTCAGAAAAAGTTTGGAAACAGATGAATGGTTCCAGAAAAACAAAAATGTGTGCACAATGAGAGACGGGTTGCCTTGGGTAGGGGAAAAATTATATATACCAACAACCCAAAGAGTCACTTTCATGCAGCTTTGCCATGACACAAAATCAGCAGGGCATTTTGGATTTGTAAAAACTTTACATTTAATTAAACGGCAATTTTGGTGGCCATCCATGAAAAAGGACATAGAAAGTTATGTGGCCAGTTGTCCAAAATGTGCCACTGCAAAGAGGTTGCAAGGGAAATCGCCAGGACTATTGCAAACAGTGGCAAGTCCCTCAGCCCCCTGGAGAGAAATAGCCATGGATTTTATAGTGGAATTGCCAGAAAGCAATGGGAATACTGTGGTCTGGACAGTCACGGACTTGTTTTCCAAACAGGTGCACTTTATCCCTTGCCAAAAGATTCCCACTGCAAAAGCCTTAGCAAAACTTTTCATCCAGCACATTTACAGATTGCATGGGGCACCCCAACACATCATCTCTGACAGGGGGTGCAATTTACGTCTGCATTTTGGAAGGAATTTTTATCCCTCTTAGGAACCACTCAGGGACTGACATCTAGCCACCACCCACAAGGAAATGGGGGGGCTGAAAAAATGAACTCCGTACTTAAGCAATATTTAAGATGTTTTCTTAGTTTCCAGCAGACCGAGTGGGCGGACTTACTCCCTTTTGCAGAAGTTGCCTACAATAATGCAGTCCACTCCAGCACAGGTTACACTCCTTTTCAAATAGCCACCGGTCAAAGTTTCAACCCCATGCCAGAGTTAACCCCAAACGAACCAACAATCCCTTCACTGAAAGAATGGATGGAAAAACTACAAAACACCTGGCCAATAGTTAGAAAAGCACTAGATGAAGCTAGGCAGGCATACAAAGCACAAGCCGATAAAAAAAGGGTTGAGCCTACACCATTCATTATAGGAGAAATGGTGTACTTATCTACAAAATACCTAAAGTCCCTACAGCCCTGTAAAAAACTTGGACCAAAATATATAGGACCTTTTCCAATTAAAAGAATCATAAATCCAGTAACAGTAGAATTAGAATTACCCAAAAATCTCAGGCAAATACACCCAATTTTTCATTGCAGCTTGCTGAAAAGAGAGCATCAGTCACCTCTACGGCCAAAAATCCCCCCCCCCACCACTTCCAATCATGGTGGAGGGCGAACAACACTTCGAAATAAAGGAAATCCTTGACTCTAGGAGATATCATGGAGCAACTCAGTACCTAGTTGCCTGGAAACACCTCCCTCCCTCACAAAACGAGTGGGTCCATAAACGTCATGTCAGAGCCCCGAAGCTATTGAAGAAGTTTCACACAGAGTATCCTAACAATCCTTACTAACTTTTATACCTGTTTTGTTTTCTTTCAGGTGGATCTCTCTTATTTTTAAGGGGGGGCGGATGTCAGAATCCAATTATACTTCATCTCCAGTTATCAATTATAGAAAACCCCATTTCTGCCCTCTCTGGATTCTGTCATAAAGAAAGAGAAGGGGGTGAACAAAGGGGCTTTATGGCCCTCACTTCCTTCGGTACAACCTCAAAGGGATTGAATGTGGTTAGCACCAAAAGGCCTTATCATAACAAAGAAAGCTATTTACCTTTCATGTAGTTTATCTGAAGTCTCCATCCAGCCGGCAGAAAGGAAAAAAGGGGTGGGATTGTGATGCCTGAAACTGTCACTGGAAGAGGGGGGTGATTGGGTGGGACTACTGGGGAACCCCTTAAAACCTCGAATGGGAGAGCTTGGACCCCAAGTCCTGTCTAGAACGCCTGCAACCATTTTCTCTTAATAAAGGATTCCTGTTGGAAGAATTATTCCAAGAATTCTGTCTTCTTAAGATGCAAAGTGGGGTGGGTCCTTACAGTATGTCTGCGGCTGTTTTTGTTCAGAACGGCATTTGGAAATTGTTCTTAACTACAGAAGATGTGATGACTACACAAGAAAAAAAATGACTTTTTTTCTTTTTAAATTAACTAGCCAGTGATGCTTCACTACACTGTTAAATATCCCAGTCCAAAACTTTATGGTGCAGTGTAACAATATGGTAAATAAAATATATGTTTGTGCATGTATGTAGTTATGTATGTTGTGGTAATCACAGCATATTATATATTAGGCTGCTGAGGAGAGACTGAACTTGTTTCCCATTTTAAATCCTAGGACTTTGCAATTGATACTATCAAAAGCACTCATAACTACTGGAGGGCTCTAATAATTAAAAAAACAAATGCAGGAGAGATTGCTTGGTAAGTTGCTATCCTGTTTCTTTCAGGAGTGCCTTGCAAAGATGAATCAAATGAGTCTTAACTTGTGTGTAAAATTAATGCTTTAATATTTTTTATGGAATTTATATCTTACTTTATCCCTAAATATGTTTCATTTTAAAGGTATATTTCAAGATATTCATATTACTTAAATGCATTGGAGAAAAACCTGTCTATTTTTTTCTTTCTTTTCCAGCACAAATACAACTTTGAAAGATAGTCCTTTCTGTTGTAGTCAAAATGCCGCAGCAGCCACTGTGTCAGCGGTAAGCAGTTCTGATAAACATTTATTCCCTTCATGACTTGGGACATTTACTGGGAAAAGCTGTGTGTATTCTGGGCAAACTAAGAAAGGAAAATTCCCAGATCAGATTCAAGGTCTAGTTCAGGGGTAGGCAACCTTGGCTCTTTTATGACTCGTGGACTTCAAGTCTCAGAATTCAGCTGGCTCAGGAATTCTGGGACTTGAAGTCCACGAGTCATAAAAGAGCCAAGGTTGCCTACCCCTGGTTTAGTTACAACGCATTCTGCTCCCAGAGACTTCACGATGGCTGGAGAACGCCCACAAGCTGGGCCTGAAGACAGTAGTGCTCCTCCCACTTATCATAGTAGCAGTCACAATGCCATTTCTGAAGCTGAAGATCAGCTATTCTTTTTGTGATTAATTAACATTGATAAGCCTTACTTTCTACCCCTATACTATCGGTTGCAAAATTTAGCCCCGAGAATCGAATGTGTATCTTACTAACTCCACTTTACAGATAGTTCTTGCTTAATTACCACAGTTGGAATTAGTATCTCCATTGCCATGCGAAAGATCACGTAACTGTGATGGATATATGACATCAGTTCCCATTTGGTCATTAAGCAAGTCAACTCACCATCCTTAAGTGAGACATCACATGACCGCAACTTGAAATTTTACTGCCAGCTTCTCCTTTGACTGCTTTTCAGACTATAAAGCATGCAAACGGTGATCACGTAGCCATGGACTTTGTGCCAGTTGTAAATATCTACCATTGGCAAAGTGCCAGAATCTTGATCACCTGCCCATAGTGATTGGCACTGGACAGTTGTAAGTGCAAGGACTAGTCATAAAGTTATTTTTCAGTGCAGTCATAATTTAAGATGTTTGCCAAACAGGGCGTTTATTAAGCAAGGACTGACACAACAGGAGAAAGTATGCTTTATCTTTGCTGTGAGTTTTTCTTTCTCCCAAAACTCATTTAAAGTAAATTTAAATTATTTTCTTTTATTTATTCATTCAGTTTCTATACCTGTCCAACTCAATCAAGTGACTCTAGGTGGTTTACAATTTAGTTGTCTGTCTGATCTTTTCTACAGGCTGACTATGCTAAAATTTTCTTCTGTTCATCTTGTACATCTGTTTAAAATAAAATCTCAGAACTGTGTTAGAAGAAATGCAAAATAATGTTTAATTGATTTCACTGAGAATTGATTTGCAACAATCCCAAGATTCCTTTTTCTCCCTAACATTGGAAACACAGGCAGAAGAAAAATCACAGCCTAATAAACCAGTTTTTCAGACATAAAAGTTAAGTTTTAGAGACACTTTCATTCTCCACAGTCAGCTTCTTCCAGCTAGCATAGTCAGTAAAGATAATTCCCAAACTATCAAAATGTGATTTTTTAAATATTTATTATAAAGAATTTGCTACTGATTTATAGGCAGTTCTGAATTAAGTAATAATTCTGAATAAAATATCTATTTCAGCTACCTACTTGTGGGACCTGTAATCCAATGCCAGCTGAAGGTAAATTATCTTAATTTGGACTGAAATATGAATATATGTATTTTTGTGTGGGGAATGACAAGATTGACCATTTTATCATATTAACCTAAATATGCAGAATAAATTTGTACCTTATAATTTGCTGTGTTTTGCAAGACAGATTTAAGGTCAGAAACAGCCAGTCATTTGATTAGGATATTAAACTTGGCTAAATGTAAGCCAGAGTAAGACATCTATTCATTAGTTTTATGGCTTTGCCAAACAGTAGGTAGAACACAATTTAGGTTGCAGTATTGGTATTGATGTCTAGTAAGGCATCTTGTTTTCTGTTAAGAAAGATTATGGTATTTTAAAGCTAATAAAAAATTTAAGATCATAAGTTTATAAGGTTTAGAATCTGATTTATCCTATATGTAACTTTGATTGTACTGCAGCAATTTAGCATGATTGCTGTTCTGGAAACTTTACATTTAAAGCTGAATGTAGATTCTGTTGCTTGATAGTGCTATAGTATTAAGCATTTAGAAAACTGTAATTATTAAACCTTCCACATCTAAATCCCTATAAACCTCACAGAAGCTCAATCAATATATTTACCATCTCTATTTGTGATCACTTCTCTTAAAGAAGCTTTCCCATCATGTTCTCAATATGCATGGAAAGAGTTTCCCCATACATTGTCAAAGGAATGACAATGCAGATTGTCAGATGTCCAGATCAAAGGCTGTTCAGCTAAAAGTCATGCCCGCTTCAATAAACAAAGTGTATTCAATGAAAGTATTTTTGCTCAGGTTTTCCCTGCTTCTGTCATTTTTCAGAGAAAATTTACTTCTGTGAATAATTTACTTCTGTGAAGCCACTTACAATAGTTACTATAGCTTGAAACAGATGATGCTGACATTTTTTATTCTTTCCCCTATTTCTTTTCTCTCCAACCAGTGGACCGGTGGTTCTTTTGCCAGTGAAATTTGACCAAATGACAAAAGTTACAGAAGCAGCTGCCTACTCATCAAGATATTTGTGCAGGACACTTATGAAGAATTAGCCGAGAATCCAAAACAATATGTTTATAAATAAGTAAATTATGACTCGTAGTCCACTGTATGCATTCAAAAAATATGAGATTAGATGATGTAAAATATCAGCTAAAGTCTTCAAATATACATCATGAAACTCATTGCTGTTTGCTAGGTTTATCTCAGTGTTTTCCAGTATAAAAATTTAGGTTGTTTTTTTCCTCTCCTATCAGACAGGTTTATTTTAACAGATGGAGGGGGAAAACCCCACACATTGATTCCTTGACATGCGTATGCCATTTTAAAACTTAAGGTTCCTTACAAAATCAACAAACCACGGAACTGAGATTAAAGTACAACGTAGAGCCAGAGAACACAACAGTGCTGCTGATGATGACTGCTTCCATTCATTGATGCAGTTAGTAGATAAATAATAAATTAACAGTATGCTTATATGACAAACTAATATAAAATAACATAGGTACCAGTTATTATGTAAAACAGTTCACAAGCTAAAATAATAGCCCGAGATTGCCCATTTGTTCTCGAAGCAGTGTTTCTTTATTGAGGGGACCTTGGTGCAAACGTTGTTTTGTTGCAGACGTTTCATTACCCAAACTAGGTAACATCATTAGTGTATTTATGTTTCTTTAGTCTCAGTGCTGTGTTGGCTTTTTCTAATGATGTCTGTGGGTGGGCTGAGACCAATGCAGGGATGAGCAACTGTTGCCCCCAAGATGCCTTTATGTGGCTCTGGGGCCTGTCGCATCTCCCAGCATAAATGTTGAAAACTGAAAAGAGATTTTTAAGTGAAAAAACCAAAAAAATAAAATGTTGCCCCTAAAATGGGCATATAAGAGCTCCCAAGCTCTGATTGTTTAAATCCAAAACATCTGCTTGCATAAGCATACTCTTTCCCATAGCTTGCATAGGCATACTTTCCCCTACAGCAGTGGTTCTCAACCTGTGGGTCAGGACCCCATTTGGGGTCGAACGACCATTTTATGGGGGTCGCCAAACAACGCAGTCTGCCATTTTCTTTTCCCTTCCTTTTCCTTAGCTGTGCTACTCCCTTTTATTCTATTGGCTTTTGAAAGCCAATAGAATAGACCAGCGGTTCTCAACCTATGGGTCGCGACCCCATTTGGGGTCGAACGACCATTTTACGGGGGTCGCCAAACAATGCGATCTGCAATTTTCCCCCCTCGGGGTGGCGCCGCACATGCGCGCTGCGCATGGGGGCGGCGCCGCGCATGCGTGGCACGTTCGTGTGGCGGGGGTCGCCGTCACACAAACATTGAGGAACGCTGGAATAGACTCTCTTGAATGGAGTCTAATTTTATTGCCTTTCAAAAGCCAATAGGAATTGTCCAGGCTGTCTCTGCCCTGCTGAGCCCGCCAAAAGTCCCATTCTGCAAACGGTGCTGCACCAGTTGAGTAGTCCTCAACTTATGACCGGTTGAGTAGTCCTCGATTTACGACCGGTTGGGGGTCGCGGCATTAAAAAGGTTGAGAACCACTGCCCTACAGCCTCCCACATCCTTGGGACTTCTTGGCCTTTTCTGCCTTTTTCAAAGCTTATCAGAGCAGGAAAAAAAATCACTTCTGCAGGCTTTACTCAGCAGCTGTTCTGCTAACTAGGAATACACATTCCAGAGAGAACAAAATAGTACTTGATGCAGAGGAACGTTTCAGTTTAATCCCTAAAATAATTCAATCAAGGGAACTTAATCCACATCTATTTTCTTTTAATTCTCCCAACCTTTTGTAATTAAGGCAGTAATCTTACCTGATTTAATTCTGACTCAGGCTTCAGAAATTGATTTTCCCTAGCTCTGATGGTCTCTAAACATTACCTCAGCTGACAGGTGTCGCACTGATGAACTATTACCTATGAAAAACACTCTAATTCTGCTGCCTATTTGTGATAGCCCCTGAATTTTAAGATTCTACATCTTACATCAGAGGAGGCATTTTCAAACTCATGCTGAGTTTGCCTAAAAATAATAAAATGAATTTGTGCAACTCCTGCATGATTTCATTGGGATTAAGGTTTGTTTATTTATTGAAACCATGGGTGAGAAAGAAAGATGGTACTAAATTTCATAATTTTAATCTATCAAACAAAATTCAAAGGATCTTAAAGACTATAAAATAATGCTATTTCTTTAGAAATTAAAGATGGCAATAAAAATTAAAACCATATTTTAATGGATCAGTGAGCTGGATTTCTTATGTACAATTTTTTAATTTCTGTATTTTATTTTGAAGACAACCATTCTCATTCACTAAAGGAAGTGGGGAAAGAGATGGCTTTTAAAATGGCTCCTGAAATGCAGCTTGCTCAGTATGTACAAAAATCTGAATCGTGCAGGCCATGATATTCCCTGTGACACTCCATGGAAGTGGAAGTTTAAAGACTTTAAAGAAGCAGGGTAGGAAAACCACTGACACCTTTGAACGTTATTGTTGGAGAAGACTTCTGAGAATACTGTGGACAACCAAGAAAACAAATAGATGGATCACCTAACAAAACAATAAAAAAAACAGACACAAGCAGAGAGGATGTTAGTTGTTGTAAGGGAGCTACCACAGGATCTCTGGTCCCCTGGGATTCCTGGCTTTATGATTTTGAAGGTTTTGTGGAATGTTGAAAGAGACCGAACCTCACTTCTGGGGTGGGGAGAAGATTCTGTAATAACAAGATTCCTGGTAGCCACCAAGTGTAATTTCCTTCTCTGCCATTTCCGGTGGGACAAGCAAATATAATCTGGGAGAGGTGATCCCTCAGATAACTTGGTTCCATGTTATGAGAGACTTTAATAGTCAAAACCAGCAGCTTGAATTGGACCCAGAAGAACACTGGCAATTAATGCCGCTCACAGAGTAGAGATTTAATGTTGGCTTTCTAGGGAAACACGTAACTGCCCATGGTGCTGCATTTTGCATTAGGTGAAATTCCCAGATACTCGTTTTAATGACAGCTTCATGTTGATTCTAGGGATCTTTCTTTCTAATCCAAGCTTCCTGGCTCCAATCTTTCTGACAAGATTATTACATCTGCATTTCTGCAGACCTGGTTTCTGTTTGGGGCAGAGAGACTTGGGGAGGTTTCTGCCTTTAAAATCCTTTGGGGAAATATATTCTGCCTTTTTAATATTTCCCCCCCCAAAAATTTCTCTGGATTCTTTCCACACTTAGAAAGGTAGAAAATCACTTTATATACAGTTTAAACATATTGGGTTTCAAATGAGTTCTTTCATTGATTAACATCATTTGACACATCTCTGATGCAGCACGCATACTTAGTAACTTTAGTATTCCATAGTTTCCCGTAATATCCTTAATATGATTGATTTATGCTCATTTTCATATTCAGGACCTGTGTCCCACATTATAATGAGTTTGCAAATAACTAAAGTTCAAATCAGTGTCCTTGACAGGTTTAAACCAGTTCTCTTATGAAGCTATACAATTTTCTTTGTATAGATAACATTAGATAAGATAACCTTTATTGTCATTTTTTTTACTGTGAGCACAACGGCACACATCAAAAATGAAATTTAGTTGCCCACTCTCAAAGTGAAACATACATGACACACACCTAAACATACTACGTACAACATATGTATAGACCCACACCTCTACATATACATAACAAATATTAAATACTGTCCATCTTGAATATATAACGGAAGGAGGAAGCTTGAGAGTTCACAAGGTTAATGCTGTATGGAATGAAACTATGGCTGAATCTGGATGTTCTGCTACAGATACCATGGAGCCTCCTCCTTCCAGAAGATAACAAGGAAAACAGGTTGTGAAGAGGATGTGTAGTGTCCCAGATAATCTTACAGACCCTGCTCAAGCAATGCTTCTGGATGGGAGGGAGGGAGCTGCCAATGATCTTTTCGGCCATACTCACCACTCTCTGCACCGCCTTCCTGTCTGAAGCAGTGATGCTTCCAAACCAGACTGTGATGCTGTATGACAGGATGCTCTCGATCATCCCCCTGTAGAAAGTGGTCAGGACAGGGGATACATATTAGTGCCTGTTGGTAAGAATATCAAGACTCCAGTCGCACAAAGGAGTGTTTAAGCCTGAAAGGCCCAGTTTGTCTACTAGATGCTGGGGAATGATTGTGTAAAACACCAAACTGAAGTCGACAAACACGTGAGTATTTTTTTGCTGTAAGAGTGCTTCAAGCTCAGATGGAGAACAGAAGAAATAGCATCCTCCGTAGAGCAATTTGGCCGGTAGGCAAATAAGTGGGTCAAATGCTAGTGGGAGGCTAGATATAATAATGTCCTTTATCAGCTTCTCAAAGTATTTCATAATGGCAGATGTCAGTGCAACCGGACGGTAATCATTGAGCCTGTAATAGTGGACTTTTTTTTTACACTAGCAAAATGACGGCCGTCTTAAAACATGATGGAACCACTGCCTGCTGCAATGAGAGATTGAAACTATCTGTGAGAACACAAGCCAGCTCCTCTGTGCATTCCCTGAGGACATGTCCAGGGAAGTTATCTGGGCCTGCTGCTTTCCGAATGTTAACCTTCCACAGTGTTTTTCCAGAGGTGACATCAAATCTCAGCATTTGTTCATCAGGATGGGGCACAGCTTTCCTAGCAGGGGTGCTATTTGATGCCTCAAATCTACCAAACCATGCATTCAGTTTCTTGTTTCCAAAAATATTAATCAAAGAGCCCCCCCCACCTCCCTCTGCTGCTGCCATCAGTTGGTCTCCTAAACCAGAGTTTCCCAACTTTTCCAGCTTTGTGGCCCAACGTGGGGGGGGGGAGAGCCGATGTTTCCGTGCATGTCCACGTGCAAATGGAGCATGCGCCCACAAGCTCGGCCGCTGCTTGCGCAAGAAAATCCCGCCCGTTTCGAAACCTGCCAACCAAAAATTATAAATTGCTCAGCTCAGAGCTCCCTCCAAAGGAAGAGTTTTCCCCTCTGACGTCAAAAGAGCCAACCAATCACGCCCATCCAGCCCCGGAAAGCAAAGGAGCCCTCCCGAGCCAGGTGAGTCAGAGGGGCGTGGCTTGCGCCCACGGTCACGTGCCTGGAGGCGGAAACCTAGCGCGTGGCAAGAGCCCCTCGCCCGCCCTCTCTTTCCACCGGAAGCTGCCGCCGACGCCGTCACCGCCGAAGGAGGAGATGCTACGTAGTTCCGGCGGGGAGGTGGCGGCTGGGGAGTGAGTGAGTGCGTGTGAGAGACAGCACAACGGGAGGTTTCGCCGGGAAGAGAGAGAATCGTTGCTGCCGCTGGCGCCACTGCCACTGTCGTGAAAGGCTTTATCTACCTGGCGAAAGGAGCCGCTGCTGTCTGCGAGGAAGGTGAGGCAGAGGTGGCGGCGATGGATTTCGGCCTGAGCCGGCCGGTGGGCGGGTAAAAACGAGCGGCCGGCGGGGGGGGGGGGGAAGTCGAGCAAGTGACACGCAGGCGAAATGAGGGTGGGGAGGCCTAGCCGAGGGCGCCCCCCTTTCTCTTCGCGGATGGTTTCTCCCGTTCTTGAGACTCTGCGGACCAGAAACGGATCGATCTGTTTGAGCTCGGTCTTCTTGGGACCCGCCAGTGATTCCCGGGCTCCTTTGTAGTCTTGCCTCCCCCGAGCCTGGCGCCCCTTGAGAGGCGGATTGCATTCCGGCTCCCGTCGCCCTTCGCCCTCTTGGGCTGATGGGTGCTGATCCGATCCCCTCTTAAGAGGTGGGAAACTGGAGTCTTTTCTGAGCCTGCTTTGGGTGCCGCTTTCCACTCTCGGGCGCCCGAGTTCTTGCGTTGATCGGTTTTCCTTTCGGAGATGCTTTGCTTTTTGAAATTGGCAAGATCGAGGGTGAAACCCTCCTGTACGCTGGGACCTAAGGCATCCTTCTCCCCGTTTCTAAGAATTGCTGTTCCCAAAATAAAATTTGGGCGGGGGAGAAGGGCCTGGTTTGCCATTATAATGGCTGTTTTCAGTCCGGGCTGTTTTCGTTTGTCTTTTATGTTTTTAATTTTTTTAAGCTTGGGATTTGATTTTGTGAGCCACCCGGATTCTGCTGGAGTGGACGGCTCTAATACATCTAATGAAATAATTAGAATGAAAGATGCTGATGATTGAATAGTATTGCAAACTAGGGGAGATGGGGGTTCCAAAAGCAAATAGCCCAATAAGGCCTGTCTCATCCCTTCCTTGTTTTGGAACCAGCAATTATTGGGTAGGTAGAGTTGGAAGTGTCTATACACTTTGTGCCACCTTCTGGGTTACGCAACTACCGGTAGTTAGTTGATGACCAGGTTATGTGCTTTACAAGATAATGTAACTGAAGTAGGTTGATTGCTTTTTTTAATCCTTAATTTTGGTTTTACCCTTATCCTGTCCCCATGCTGTACGGTTGCAATGTATTCTTCTCCTTTATCTCCTTTAGCAGCTCTTATCTTTAGCTGTGAGTGATTGGAAACACTGTATTTGTTGTGTGCCTGTTCTATATTCAGTTGATCTTCGGCAGAATAAAAGCCCCAATCTGGTGAAAAGCGGAGAATGCAGTGTCTTTCATTAGTGCAAATTAAGAACGGAGCATTGAGACATTTGTTAGAAGTGTGCAATATCATTTCTAAAAACAAAATTTGATTTCTCTAGGGCTAGGCCCTCTAATCAAGCAGAGTTAACTCCTTAGAGTTATTTAGAAATGTGTTTGTTTAGCAGTGCCAGCTTCTTAATTGAAAACAAAAATTCCCTGCTAAGAACTACTTACTATTTAGCGTCTTTCAAAATTGTGTTTTAGCTGTAAAAATAATTTTGGGACCTGGATTAAACCTAGAATTGATTTGGACAATTATATTTAAAAAAATGACATGCCTTTCAATATGTTTAATTCTTTTAAAAAGACAGAAAAAAGCTGGTGAAAATTTTATTTAGGATTCAAAATGTAGAGAATATAATAGGCGAGTAATAATGAAACCTCTAGGCTTTATCCTAGTGTTCCCAACACCCTTAATTTCAATCAGATCTGCTGTCACAGCTTTAAGAAGCTCCTGGAGATTTTTTTTCATTTTTCTATATTGCTTTTCATTCCAGAGAAGCCTAGCATAGTCTATGAAAGAACAGTAAACCAACCTTTAAAAAATAAAGCAAAACTGCGTAGAAATAATGCATTAAAAATATTAAAAACCATTTTAAAAAATTGGCATTTTAAGCCACTGCATCACATTGGGCAGTTTGTTATCCTACTAATGTCTATGGGAGCAATGATTTATTTTCAAATGTATTTATTTTTTTAAAGAAAACTCTGCGAGAGCTACCCAAACATGACATGGGAAACAGGTTCGTAAATATGAACTGCCACTAAGAAGATCTTGCTTGACTACCATGTTGTCAGCCAAGTGCACTGATGGCAGCACAAATAGTGAGACCGTGATCTTCTATTAAAAGGTCATAGCTAAGATCATCACTCTTGTCTTTTGCCAATTCTGTCCTTTCTCTGCTCAGAATAGAACTCAGTTTCTGAGGTTAGGTATCACAATCCTGTTGATACTGCATAGAATGACACTGAAGCTATTTTGTAAGTGTGATTTGTTCCTGCTAACTTCAGAAGTGAGTATGAGTTGCAATACTTTTCTTATTGTCAGTACTTGAATATAGAATTTCTATTGGCTCCTAGTTCACAGGTAAATGTTTTGGTGTTTCTTTATGGCATTAAGACCTTTAATTAAATATTTCTATTTTTTTCCAGGTACATAATTCTTCCATTATGTCATTCTTATTTGAATGGATCTATAATGGCTTCAGCAGTGTGCTGCAGTTCCTAGGTAAGACTTTAAATGAATAATTTTCAGGGGCTTATTTATTAAATTAAAAATGAGGGATTTGTAGATTGCTATAGTAAGGCACTGATGTCTCCAGATAAAATGTTAATTTTGTGTGGTCACGTGCCAGTTTTGTCTTTTCATTTTTAAATATAATATCATTCTATAAATGATAGAATAATAAAGTCATTCTGTAAGTGATTGAGATGCAAATTATACTTGTTTGTGATGTATTTTGCCTTATTTTATTATACTAAATGAATGGCGTGGACAGAAAAATAGTGAAGTTAAAACTTTAAAATCAGCCTTCGTTTTTATATCTGCAACTTTCTAGAAATATATGGAACTTTAGCTCAGTGTTACACACAATATGGAAATATTTCAATCCCAGAAAAAAAAAATAGCCATTTCATAAATTTTGCTAAACCATTTTGAGTCAGACATGGAGGAGCAGAAATGAAGCCTGAAACTTTTGTTATTTCAAGGTTAGGGATGATAGAAAATCCATTTGGTGTGTAACCTAGTATATGTTAACACCAACACCACTCACTGACTGACTTGTTCCCTTGATCTTCCCTGTGCCTTCTCTCTCGCCCCTCCTGATGCCAAAGAATCACGGCATATCCTTTGGGCCCACTGGGTTCTTCCCAATACATTTCCTTCATTGCAAGTGTCCAGTGCAGCACACATCTTCCCATGCACAATTTTCCCACATTTTCCCTTCTGAATAGCTGCTGTAGAAGTCACGATGCAGACTGCATGCTCCATTCACTTTGGGGAATAAGAATGCTCAATAGGCTTAATCCAATAAATAATTCATTTTATTTCATACATGCTCTTTTTCCACAGGATTGTACAAGAAGTCTGGAAAATTAGTTTTTTTGGGTTTGGATAATGCAGGCAAAACTACCCTTCTTCACATGCTAAAAGATGACCGATTGGGTCAACATGTTCCCACATTGCATCCAAGTAAGCACCATGTAGATATAGTTGGAATTGTGTATTGATGTAATTTTAGAACGTTATTATATAATAATGTTGAAGCTTAGTATACTTAAAAATAAAGTTGCTTCATCTTTGCACTTAATTGTTTTGAAAATGACATTTAAACTTATTCCTAATCCCAATATCTTTTCTGAAGCTCATTACCTGGAAAGGATAAGAGAGATTAGGCTCAAGATTATGATTCAGTGTGTTATATTAAATGCAAATTTTACCTGTTACAGTTTATGAATTACATTTGAGTTAGCAGGAATTCGAAGATTTAAGATATGATTTTCAGTATTGGTGACCTTTTAGAGTAGCTGAAGGCAGCATGTGCCTTCCAGATGTTGGTGAACTTCGGTTTCCACCTGTCCCAAAAAAGTGATTGAATTATGGAGATTACACTCCAACATCCGACATGTCAAATTAACCTATATCTATTTTAAGGTCTTATGCAGCTTTCCTCCTCCGTTTTGTTTATGGAAGTGTTGGGTTTTAATTCCCAATCAGCATCATCTTTATCCAGGAAGCTTGAAATTTGGGGGCTTCCCCAAAAAATATTCAATATTTATATAGAGTCAGTCACCAAAGTAAGCTATGAAATCCTTTAAACTGGGTGTATTCAAATCTAAGAGATTAGATAGACAATTATTGAAGATGCTTTAACTTTATTCTTGTACTATCCAGATGTTGGATTCACTGGTTCTATAAATCCTTCCAGTTCTTTAATTCTATGAATATTTCTGAAGGGCATTAGGTTGGGGAAGACTGATCTTACATATCTTGAATACTTTATGCCTTCTGGTAATTGGCATTGTAAAGAACATATCCACTGTTAAAGGCTATAAAACATTCTTCTCTTCTCTAGCATCAGAAGAATTAACAATTGCAGGAATGACTTTCACCACTTTTGATCTTGGTGGCCATGAGCAAGGTAATCAATATTAATGCTTGTTATTTTGTTATTCTCTTATTCCTGGCTAATCTGAGAGAAAGTGTCCTTTATGCAGATAAAATGTTCTACTAATGGGGATGGCATTCAATCACCTTAAGAGATCATTGTATGATTTATGTTGCCCATATTTATTTTCGCATTCATGAAGGTCACAAATAGGTTTTCTTCCTTTTACAGCAGGGACACAATATTGGCTTTAAGGTACAAAAAAAGTGCGCAGAAGTACAGGTAATCCCTGACTTACAACAGTTTATTTAGTGACTGTTCAAAGTTACAGTGGCACTGGAAAAAGCAACTTATGACCATTTTTCACACTTATGACCGTTGCAGCATCCCCGTGGTCACGTGGTTTACATTCGGATGCTTGGCATCTGACTCATATTTATGATGGTTGCATTGTCCCGGGGTCATATGATCCCCTTTTGCAATCTTCTGACAAGCAAAGTCAATGGGGAAGCCAGATTGACTGAACAACCATGTTACTAATTTAAGTGATTCACTTAACAAATGTGGCAAAAAAAAAATCATAAAATGGAACACTTTCTCACTTAGCAACATAAATTTTGGGTTCAGTTGTGATCCTAAGTCGGGGTAGGCAACCTTGGCTCTTTTATGACTCGTGGACTTCAACATGCTGGCTCAGGAATTCTGGGAGTTGAAGTCCATGAGTCATAAAAGAGCCAAGGTTGCTTACCCCTGAGGACTATCTGTATGCAAAATCCTCAAGTTCTATGTTAAGCACGCACTTCAAACCACCTAGCTTAATTAGTAGATGACAAAGTGCAATATAGGTTTAATTCTGATATCAAGCTGGCACGTGAACATAGCTAAATATGCTCAAAATATGATTTTCATCCCTTTCCTACTGTTGGTGGTATGCTGTTGCTATATTTTCACACATGTTTTTCTTTCTCTGGAAGCTCGGCGTGTCTGGAAGAATTATTTCCCAGCAATTAATGGGATTGTCTTTTTAGTGGACTGCGCAGACCACTCTCGTCTTATGGAATCTAAAGTGGAGCTCAATGTGGGTAACTTTTTCCTTTGAATGCACTAGTACTAGTTGTAGCATTTATATATTCCTTTTCTGTCTTGGACAACAAGTTAACTTAAAATGTGCATCTATGAGCAAAAAGGAAACTAAATAGGAATATGAATTTAACACGAAAGCCAGCTAGGTGACTTTGGAGCAGTCATACTCTCAGCCCAACTCATCTCACAGGGATGTTATGATGGGGAAAATAGGAGGACAGTGTGTTAGTTATGTTTGTCACCTTGAGTTATTTGTAAAAATAATAAAGGTGGTATTAAAAAAAATATTTTAAAACCAGGCAAATATAAAGCAGTACTTACCTCTTACACATAATTTGGAATATGCTTCATAAATTTGAACTGTAAGTTACATGCCACCATTATGATATTTACATTTACGAGGTCATGTGACTCTTATTCCAAATATAGTCAAAATGAAATGTATGTATCTATTTTCTGTTAATAGCATTTTCTGAAGTAGTTAGCTTTGGAATTCCTAATTAAAATTATTACTTGCTTTCTATAGTTACATAGTTGCACATTTTTTTTCGTTAGGCACTAATGACTGATGAGACAATATCCAATGTGCCAATTCTTATCTTGGGTAACAAGATTGACCGACCAGAAGCTATCAGTGAGGAGAAACTGCGAGAGATTTTCGGTCTTTATGGACAGACAACAGGAAAGGTAAGGAATCAAAGCTTGGTTGTAAAATTAATGTATCTTATTTTTCAAAATATATTTTTCTGAGTACTATCAGATATCAAGGTTTTAACTTTGGCTGTTAAAATACCACAGGAACACAAGTAGCAATTTATAATAGATCCAAGTATGGTGCAAATGAATTTTTTATATTAATGTAGAATAGCCTAATTTTATACTTTTCTTCTGTTTGCAAATGAATGACTGTTTTGTATGGTTAGTTAATAAACAACATATTTAGTTTTTATATATCAGAGTATATCTCCTTGGAAGCCCGAATTGTTAACTTTGTGATTGCAGTAAGGGGTGACAAATATATTGGTGTTTAAATGGATACAAGACAACTAAACTTCTTGTGGACATCAGCAGCAACAATAACAATAATCAAGATCACGTGAAGTATTAATAGCACTTTACAATGCCTTGGTAAGGCCACACTTGGAATACTGCATCCAGTTTTGGTCACCACGATGTAAAAAAGATGCTGAGACTCTAGAAAGAGTACAGAGAAGAGCAACAAAGATGATTAGGGGACTGGAGGCTAAAGCATATAAGGAACGGCTGCTGGAACTGGATATGTCTAGTTTAATGAAGAGAAGGACGAGGGGGGACATGATAGCAGTGTTCCAATACCTCAGGGGCTGCCCCAAAGAAGAGGGAGTCAAGCTATTCTCCAAAGCGCCTGAAAGCAGGACAAGAAGCAACGGGTGGAAACCAACCAAGGAGAAAAGCAACCTAGAACTAAGGAGAGACTTCCTGACAGTTAGAACAATTAACCAGTGGAACAACCTGCCTCCAGAAGCGGTGAATGCTCCAACACTGGAGGTTTTTAAGAAGAGACTGGACAGCCATTTGTCCGAAATGATATGGGGTTTCCTGCCTGAGCAGGGGGTTGGACTAGATGACCTCCAAGGTCCCTTCCAACTTTATTATTATTACTATTATTATTACTATTATTAACAACAACATTAGGAAGGATATACTGATCAATACCCATTGGGGCATAATCAGTTTTATACTTGTACTTTCTTTTGGAAAGACTTCAATTAATTTAGCCTCCAGTGATATCCTGGGAACTAAAATATTCTCACACTGTTTTTTGAATATCACCACTTTGGGTGTCTAATTAGTATTTTTTTCATTCTGTTGTCTTGTGAAGCATAAGAATATTGTTAGATGACAGAAAAAATGTAGCATATGCCCTTTACTGTAGGCTTAAATAGCTTACTTGTGATATCTCCTTTCTGGCAAAATAATCCAGTATGATTTGCCATTCAAAAATAATTAAAACAAACTGTACAAAGGTTTCTTTTTTCTTTGAAGCACACTTTATTCTTAAAGTGTCCAGAGGCTGCATAACCTAAGGGAACACAAGGGAAAGGTTGCCCAACAAGTTTCTTAGCTCACTGACGGAGCCTATGGCTTGAGCTCCATGAATGGGTTTTTTTTTTTTTTCCCCTACCTTTCCTTCAGGTGCACAGTTCTGAAAGTTTTCCAGCAATCTTTTTTTGTTAATTTCATTGTAGCTCTTGGATCAATATCAAAAACAATGCCACGTGATATAATCAAGAATGATCTTCCAGTGTTTGTATTTTATATCTGTAACTGCAGCAATGAAAAAAGAGGTTACTCTTTGTCCCCTTTTCCCCTTTATCTCTTTTCCCCCTAATTTTTTCTGTCTTTTTTAATATTTTAATTTTGGGGGGGGGGGGTAAAAATTTAATTAACTAAATTATCTTATGGCTGTAAAAATCAGATATGACCATTTGTTCATAAGGAAGCTTGCTGTATTTGTCCTAGTCTCTGGGATTGAAGTTCTGCCTGTGCAGTTAAGGTTCAGCAGTGGAGTGTTTTTGAATGAATTTTTGTCTAATTCTCTAGGGGAATGTGTCATTGAAGGACCTGAACACGCGTCCTATGGAAGTGTTCATGTGCAGTGTGCTGAAGAGGCAAGGCTACGGTGAAGGTTTTCGTTGGCTGTCACAGTACATTGACTGATACTGGAGAGACACATCTATTCCTGAACTGATCCTGTTCACAAATTCCTTATGGACTTTTCTATTAGAACATGGAAGACTCTCCATCTGCATACTGGCAACGACCAAGAGACTCCTTTCTTCAGTTACCCTACCTCACAGTGGTGACACAATTCTTTTCCCTGTGTCTGGGAGATAACATTCTGTACACTGGTGCAGGTTGTCACTTCCAGCGGCCATTGATTCCTATGGAAACCATGGCTTTCAGTTACAATAGGATGAGCGAGCCAGAATGCCAACCTCTGTGTGCGGCGCTCTTGGGCTGGAAAAGAGGACATGTCTCACCACTGTGGCCAATTGATTTCAAAGAAAGCAACTATATTTTTTAAAGGAAGTGTTTGATGTGAATGGCATCCCTTTAGATTTTCTTAAGTTAGCATTCATCCTGTTCAGGCCAGAGTCTGTTAGGATTTTTTTTTAAAAAAAAAAAAAATCTATTTAATGGTATTTAGGCGGTTCCCAAATGACTGAACCAGCTATCATGATATTCAAAATCTTTAGAGAACGAGAAAGATGGCTTTCAAAGCCCTGTAAGGTGGTTGCGCAGTCGCACTGCTCGATCATGAAGATGGTGCTATTGGGACTGACTTGTGCAATGATTTTCTTTAACTTACAGGGAATTTAGTTGGGGGGGGGAATGGAGTACACACAGAGGCACACCTATTTAGCCTTCCTTGTCATGTGCAGGAGTCTGAAATGTGGTTGATCCCTTTTGCCCACCTCTAAAAGTTACGATCACTTTCCTTATTGGCAGTCTTTTTTTATTTCTTCTTTGCAGCACCAGCAAAAAGTTTGTCTTGGACCTACAATACAGGATGTTCTACATTGCAGCAACTGCAAAAAAAAAAAAGGCAGTAGAAATCATGAATTTATTTTTTGGGTTATTGTAGCATTAAATTGTTCCAACAAGTGTGTATCAAATGCTGTTACTGTAAACTAACCCTTTTTCTTTTACGTTCAACAGAGCTTGTGTTTGAATTTTCATTACTTGCCTAGACATCTTCATTTTCATTTAAAACAGGCATTCTTCTCCTTTGCTGGAGCATGAAGATGCTTTAATTAAAACTATTTAGTGCTTATGGACAGACTTGCTTTGGTGAATGCAAGGGAACCCATGTCTGAAGACACTGGCTTTCTGATTTCCATTACAAAATATGAAATGCAAAACGGCAGTACACTATTGGCACTTAACGCCATTGAATTCTAACACTATGGGTACGTTCACTTAAATCAGGTGGGAATTATGGTCCTGTTATGACTTGTGGACTTCAAATCCCAGAATTCCTGAGCCTGCCATAAAAGTCACAAGTCATAAAGGAGCCACCTCTGACATAAATGCTAGTTGTGGTTTAGTGTCTGTTATCATAGCATCAACTTCATTGAGAGGGAAGGAAGGGAATCATTAACAGTTGCTCATCCCAGAAATCTTCCTGTGATTTTGGATAGCAGTTTTAATAACTTCTAAATTGTTAGTTTCACCCAGTGCATTGGCAGGTCAGAATGCATTGATCTTTACCTAAAATTACATTTCAGGTAAAAACTCGTGGAGCCTTCTGAAGTATGTAATGCAGGTATCAGGATAAATATTCTACTTTTCTGCCTGCAAAAAAGAGCTGACTATTTTACAAATATGAAGCATCTTAAAACCGTACAGGTTGAAAGAATCCAGCCTGCAAATCCAGAGCTAATTTCAGTCATAATTCCATTGGAAGAGCTATGACAGAGTAGCCAGTTCCTGAAAGGGATAACTGGGGAAGAGTCCATTATAATTAACCGGGCTCTTTTCTGATGTGGTTATTCTTGAACTGTTTGCAGTATTTCCATCAAAATGATTACTTATAGCATCATTGTTGAGTTCATTTGTGGTTTGTAAAACCTTTGGGTTTTATGTAAGAGGCTTTTCAATGACTTGTGAATATTTCCTAGGCCAAAGTGCCTGTGCAATGGTATCAAGGAGACGTGGAAAACTATTAAGTGTACAGGAGTCCACGAAAAGACTCGACTGGGTGCAAATAATGTAGCATCTGCTCCATTGAACACCTGGAATTTTCTTAATGGTGGTTCGATCAAGGGGTATGGATGGATGGCTCACCATGGATCAACATGAGACATGATAACCCTTATCTCCAACTCCATGCTTAAAAAGAAGGCCGTGGTAAGCAGAGCTATAAGATGGTGCCCAAAGAAGCAATTTCTATGAAAGTGGTATCCCAGCCACTAGAGAAACTGGTTGCGTATGGCTCTGATCTGTTTTCTGCCTGCCATGTTCTGCCTTTGGACAAATCTCCTTGCAATGTCTGGATATAAAGTTTAATATATTCCTTAGGGGCTGGGTTACAGATTGGAAAATAGAATAAGCATCATTCTGTTAGCAAAATGTTTTAACTTCCAATTTCTGGAAATGTGAAACATGTTGGCAGAGACAGTTTGTCTGTATCCAAAACATTTTAATAAAGTTTTTTTTTTAAAAAAAAAGAATTATATACATATACTTGGGTTGAATCTGGCCCTTATAGAAGGTATCCATGTCCTGGGCCACAAAGATACTCTCGACAATGTCAAATTGGGAATGAACCATTTCATATTTTTATCCATAAGAAAAAGTACAAGTTCTCGTATGTGAACACATGGAAGATCACAGTGAGAAGCTTGCTGCTTATGGAAAAATTACATGAGGGAGAAGAGAATGAATACGGATGCCTGTGGAAAAATAACTGCTAGATACTATAGTTTTGACAGCATAAAAGATAGTAAAAATATATGAAAATAATGTTGCTATACTCGCCATCTTTGCTGTAAGACCCCTTGCTTTTATGGGAGTACCACTAAGTATTGCCCTCTGCTAGTTTGAGTACTGTACTTCAGTTAACGAGAACTGGTGGTATCTGTTTTATGCAAGTCATCTGTGAATGCACCCATCAGGAAGGCTTCCTACCCAATTCTTGAAAAGGTGGGACCTAGGGCAGTGATGGTGAACCTTTTAGAGACCAAGTGCCCAAACCGTAACCCAAAACCCACTTATTTATCGCAAAGTGCCAGGGCCGCTTCAGCATTGTGGTGTCCTGGGGGGGGGGCAGTTGGAGGGGCATGGCCCACTGGGTGAGTGTGGCTGCTGTGGTCATGGCAGATTAGGTGGGCATGACCAGGGTGCTCTGGAGGTCTTTAAAATGTGAGTTTAATTTCCTTTTGTATTCTTACCGTTTAGCATCTGTGAGCACAGTTTGGCATTTTAATAAATGCTGTGGATGAAAGCAAAGGTGTGAGAAACAGGAAGGACAGGAGAAACTAAATAGAAAAATGAGGAACAATGGAGAAGAAGAGAAAAGGATGGTTTTTTTCAATAGAAAAGGGCTTTACTCTTCTTCAAGCAAGGACATACTTTCACATGTTCAGGAGAACCCCTCCTGGTCAAGAAACAGCTGCAGGAGAGCCCTCCATCCCCCATTGCAATGTAATGAAGGAAATGTCTCCATTCTTTTGCTTCAAAAGTACAATGGTAGTTCCAGGAATTAAAGTTCTCAAGAATTAAAGATTGAACTCATGTTGGTAAACCTCTTTAACTTTTTTGGGAAACAGATTGGATGACTTCAGGTCACTTGAATTGATCTTCAAGGCCTGGAAGTATTCCAGGTCCTCACTGAAAATGCAAGAGCCCAAGTTATTTCTATTTATTAGATTTGTGTGCTGACCATCTCATCTAGAGGTGGTATAGGCATTTCAGCTGGCATACTCCCAGCATAGCTTTGATTTGGACACACTTTAATTTTTTTAAAGGGACAAGACCAGTCCAGCTGAATGTTACCATCAGAGAATGAGGAATGCCTTTTAAACAAGAGATGAGCAGAACTTCAACAGCCCTACTCCTTCCTAACAACAACATCCATAAGGTCTATTCAAGATTTTCTATATTTCTGGTTATTTGCTTACTAGCTGGATAGTGAGTTCTTGAAGGGAAGTAGACAGGATTTAGCTGTGCCACCAATTATCTCTCCCAATGCACAGAGAGATCGGATAGAAATTTTGGGACTCAGGCCCAACCATTGATTATTACACCTTGCCAGGCACGAAAGACCAAGACTATAGTTTAATTAAACTGATTTATTACTACTCATGAAGAGGACTAACAGCACTATTTTAATATTAGATAAGGTTCAAAAGAATTCAGGAGGGGTTGAACTTAGTCCATTTGTGGCTATATAGTGATTTTAGGCTGATTCCTCTTTTGACTCCCCCCCCCCCAAGGTCTTGCCACTCCTTCTCCTACAAACCTGCTCTAACAGAACTTCCTTTTTATTCCTTTCTGAACTGATCATCCTTAGAACAGACACAATGTAAAGCCAGTGGATCTCAAGCCTGTCAAAAAACAAAAATACATGTATTACTCTCTAAGCTAAAAAAGTAAAGATGCCTTGAGTCACAGACAAATCTATAATTTTCTTGACAACAATTCAGGACTAGTTTGTCCTTGCCTTCCAGGTTTTATTTTGTTTGGTTTTTACTTTTCATTCTAGTCTACAGCCCCTTCTGGGTCTCCCTTGCAAGTAGCAATAAAGCCCAGTTTCAAGATCACTCAAGGTTGTTTAATGCTGCTACCTGATGATGAAAATGCTAAATTGGGTTGGACTTGTTTGGGACCAGATGTACATTAATTAAACAAATATTAGCCAAGAAAAAGCACAGAGTTTGCCTTTATTTTAGAGTCAGTGGGAGCAGGTTCAAGCATTTCCCACAAACACACTACAGTAGAAGGTATTATCTGTCCTGCTCACTCCACATGAGGGAAACTCAGGCTGTAACTACTGTGAAAAAAGATACTTCTGATTTGGAGCAAAAAATCAAATTGCCACACTCCTAATATCATACTTGGGATGATATCTAAAACCAGAATATTGTAGACCTCCAGAACATGAAGAATGTGCCACTCTATATGTAACTATGTTAAAACACTGCCCCTGCCGAGAAACATAACTCTTGGCTTTTTTAGCTTCGAAAAGATGGACATGATAGAGGCGTGTGACAGTTATGGCAAGACAGATGTTTTCCTCTCATATTTTTGGAACAAGGGATCTTAAAATGGAACTAAACAACAGGAAATGAAACAACTAGAACAGTGATGGCGAACCTTTTAGAGATTGAGTGCCCAAACTGCAACCCAAAACCCATTTATTTATCGCCGGGTACCAGCCCACTGGGTGGTCATGGCTGTGATCATGGCAAACTGAGTGGGTGTGGCCAAGGTGGGCATGGTCACCTCGATGTTGCTCACGGGGAGGGACATCTATGGGGACTGGGCAGGGTTAGGGGAGATCCAGGGGGTCTCTGGCAGGTGGGCAGGAGGCTCATCCTGCAGGGTGAGGCAAGGCAAGGCGAGGCAGAGCGGGGATGCCATTGCCGCAGGGCAAGGCGAGGCAGGGGCCGGGGCAGCTGCTGCCTGACACCATTGGCCCCTGCACACAGAGGCCAGCGATTGCATGGGGTTCAACAATGTCCGTCAGCAGCTACAGCTGGCCCCTCAACAGCACATTCTGGGGCTCCGCAGCCCACCACCAGCAGTTCAGAGAAGCCGCCTCTGAGCTGGACAGCCGGCCAACAGCTGAGGAGGCAATGTAGTGGGTTGTGCCCAGGAAAAGGAGAGCATGCGAGGCCAGGAGGGATGGGATGGGGGGGGAGGAAACCAGCCATGCTGGGATGCATCTGGCCACATGGGAGCTCAGTTAGTTAGCGGGCGGCTGGTTGAAAAGGGACGGTTGCCATCTCCAGGGCATGGTGCGCGTGCCCACAGAGAGGGCTCTGAGTGCTACCTCTGGCACGCGTGCCATAGGTTTGCCACCATTGAACTAGAATATATAATGCATACTTGGTTCATTTGGACTTCTGGAATTCAGAAATACATTCTTGTTTAATGGATTGACAGACTACGTTGATTTGGAGTTTTCCCAAAAGAACACTGGAAATTTTTTGTTTATCTTAAAAGAACATGGATTGCCAACTAGTCGTACAAGCTAACAAAATTATTAACTGTTGGAGGTAGAAAGGAGCAAACAGTCCAATGCTCACTCCTTGCAAGAATCCAGCTCTAAGCATCCCCAAGAAATTTCTTTGTGTCCTTTGCCAACAGCAAAGCAAGGCTCATTCCCTTCCTAGTGAGTTGGTTTCACAATCAGACCACTCTAGATAGCACTCTAGCAAGCTGTCTCAAATGTGCAACAGTATTTTGACTTGCATGCACCTTAAGATGTAAGAAACCTGACAACAGGTCACCTTTTCCATAAGACACTCCTTCATATACCTAATGAGGGCTCTTCTAATAAGGTGAGGCCTAATCACTGTTGCTCTTGCTAAGCCTGTTTCATAATCTGCATTGGCGCCTTTATTTGAACCTGTTTGCTTGCACTCTTAACATAGTAATTTGTGTATTTGTCAAACTGTGTGCAATGGTGCACACAGGAAAAGGATTACAATGGGCAAGATGTCAAATCCCTGCCGATCTAGCACATTCATGATGTTATATATAGCTTTCCTCCCATTTTGCTCCCAACAAGAACCATGTAAGGCAGGTTGGGCTGAAAGAGAGTGGCCAATAGAAGAGAATATTTGTAGCTCAAGGTTGAACTGTGAAGTCCTTGGTGGTTTCTGAGCTTGGTTGTTTTCTTGCAAATATTTCATTACCCATCCAGATTAAACTGAAGATATTACCCAGTTGAGTAATAAAACATCTGCAAGAAACCAAGGTCAAAGAGCACCAAGGACTCCAGAGAGTGAATGACCTGAAGTCAAGAGAGTGAGTTTCCCTGGCTGAGATGGGATTAGAATCTGGGTTATCCTGTTGCAGTTTAGCACCTTAACCACTATCCCACACAAACTGGACACAGTATATGTAGTGGGTTCTGAGGGGTGCAGAATAGACCAAAACAATTACATCCCCCATTTTAGGAATGCTATCAATGCATCCTAACACTGCTTTCTTCTTTTCTCTATGGCAGCTTCAAGACATTGCTGACTCATGTTCTGCATGTGATCAGCTAGAATTCTAAGATTCTGATGATACATACTATTATTAAACAGGTATCGCCCTATAGACTGATGTTTAAGATATTTCAATATGAGAACTGGGGAGTAATGTGACAGGGCTTAGCAAAATAAACTCAAGAGACTTTTTTCAGAGCAGAAGTGCTGACACTTTCTACTTAAATATAACAAGCTCTAGAACAGAATATTAAAATGATCTTCAAGATTTACTTCAAGATTTATAGTTTAGCCCCAGGGAATGAGGAAGATAAATTATTGCTCTCTGTGATGAGGTAAGGTTTTTTTTTAATTAGTAGTAGTTTGTATAATAACTCATTCACAGGATTATCCACACTGCATTTCTGCTCACTGTCTGTGATTGAAATGGATGAAAATACATTGCTGAATTTTCCTAATTCAGTGGTACTTCCTGCTCTCAGGTAACTGTGCCAATACCCTATAATGTATACGTATTTTTGTGGATATTTTTTTTGTCTTGCTTGTCTCTTAATATGGTTTTAGTCATTCAGATCTAAGAAATTAGGTGGGACAGGTTCCTATATAGAAGAAAAGTCACACAACTTCAAATATGATTATTAAAGCTGAGCTACAGAATCTGAATGGCAAAGTTAAGTTGCAGGAAAGTTTTAAGATCTTGCTATGTATCTTTACTGACATAGTAATTGTACAGATTTTAGCAGCCCAGGTCTGCTAACTCTACCTGCATTTGCTCAGCCAATGTTTTGTCATGTTTGTTTATTTAAACTGTTATTTTTAACACTCTGATTGGAGGATTTCCCAGGCTTGAAGCTAAAGCCGGTATCTACAGAAGCATAATTATTTCTGAACGAGGCTGTAAAGGGAATGACGGATGTTATCCACCACAAATGATAATGTGCAGAATACAGACCAGGATCGAGTGTCTTATCAAATTTGTTAAGTCGGGATACAAACTTTGCCAGAAGTGTGCCCTTACATAGCAATCGATAGGCACGGTCAGGGGCTGGAAAGTTATTCGGGTTGGAATTAACTTGGCATTTATTCAACGGCTTCCCTATTTCGAGTTAAATAAGAAATCCCAAAGGCAAAAAAAAAAAAAATCTGTGCAGCACTCAGAACTTTTTTCAACCCGTCTGCACTTATCACTGTAATATTTATGCCGAATGACTCTGACACTTGATGCAAAGAAGGATCCCTTTCAGCCAAAAGGATTGGATTAGAGTCGCAGTTCTTCAAAGCGACAGCCCCACCTTTGTAATCAAACAGATTCCTAAAGCTCTCTTGCTATGTAACCAAACGTCTAAAAACAGCCAATGGGAGAGGACGTTCCTTGCACGAGTCCCCTCCACCAATCGTAGCGCTGTAATTGACCGATCAGCCAATGAGAGCGAGCTTAGCTCTTTTTCCCTTCGCTGCTTATTCCGGGTTTGTCCGATGCTTCCTTTCCGTTTCGCTGGGGTTTCGCGGCTGGTCCGGTGCGTCCCGGGACTTGGTGGGACTTTGCAGCGGAGCACCGCCGGGCAGGGGCGCCTGATGTGAAGCGCAGAGGCGAGGGGGCTCCGATCTTCCCGGTTCAAGGAAGGAGCAGGGCAGGACTGAATAGGCGACTCTTGAAGTTGACGGACTTTCTTTGCATTAAACTCCCCGCATTTTGCAGAACTGGGCTTTCCCTTTCGCGCTCTCACGCTTTCCTCTCCGGACTATCGGTAGAGAGATTCGCCGGTGAGGGACCTCGATTTATTTTCCCTATGTCCGAAACTCTGGGATCGAAAGCAGCCCGAGCTGGCTGCGTGGTCTCCGTGTCTCACTCCCAGGTCTCCAGCGGACCTTGCAGCGGCAGTGGCGTCCTCTTGAGTCAAGACCCGGGGATTGTTCTTTGCCACGGGATCCTCTTTTCCCCTTTCCTTCTGGAAGCCGAGCATCCTGATTGGTCTCGGGGCAAAGTCCTCCTCGCCGATCACTTCTCGCCGGGCCTCCAGATCCAGGTGCTTAGGGCAAGTGGATGCAGCAGCAAAGCGAACCGGAATGGTCTGGCTGGCGACCTGGGGGAAGATAACCCAGTGTTAAGGTTCAATCCACTTTCGAATCGGCTTCAATCCCCCCACGGTTGGAGGGACTGTGAAGCCGAACTCCTGATGGTAGTCGCTTGTCCGCAGTTCCACCAGGCCTTCTCCAAAATCTTCAGTGCTTCAGATCAGTGGCATTTTGGAGGGAATGACTTTGAGCAGAAAGTCAACTCTTTGGAGCATGATTTGCATTGCTTGCACTGGTTTGCTCTGCTGAGGATCCTGGAGCCTGATTCCTATGGAGCAAGTTGGGTGAACTGTGTTCCAGCCAGATCCCTCAGGAAGGGTGATACCGTCTTTGCATGTGGCTCTCCTTTCGGCTCATTTTGCCCGGACATTTTCATGAACACCCTTAGTAAAGGGATAGTCAGCAACCTGGCAGGAGCAAACAATGCCCTCCTCTTGATTGACGCTCGTTGCTTGCCTGGCACTGAAGGAGGAGGCGTCTTTGTCATGTCAGGAATCGGTCCTCATCTAGTTGGAATCATCGTAGCACCACTTTGCTGGAAATCCACAGAGTGGGTTGGCTTGACTCTGGTTTGTGCCATTGACTCCATTCTGGAGAGTGTTGCAGAGGTGCTTTCTGGGTCTGGTGGCTTCCTGAAGCCTTGGTTGCTCCCCATGGAACTTGTGACTAGATCGCGTAGGATGATGGTACTCGGAAATGGACTGGACAGGCACCTGTTGGATGCTGTGGTTCTGATAGAATGTGGGTGAGCCTGGGGGTCTGGGGTGATGATAAATTCAAGGCTGTTGTTAACCTGTCGGCATGTGGTCGGTCGAGCACCAAATGTCCGTATCAGGTTTTTAACTAATCCTAATAGGTGAGTCTGAATTTTAATATTTGCTTATGTATTTCTTTGTTCTCCTGAGTGTCTCTGATGCAATTTGTGCTCATCTGAGCAGCGTGGGTGAGGTTTGGGAGAGTGTATGTGTGGCAGTCTTGATGTGACCATGCACATTCTCATTCTCAGACTGAGGGAGATTCAGCCTCCCCAGCAATTTTCTTTTTATAGGTTGCTAAGGTTAAAGATTTAGGCAAATCTAAGAGCAACTTTAAAGATTCTGGGTGGGTTCTAAGAATGAAGAAACTACAAGGATAGAATAATAAATTAAAATGATAAAAACAACAGTGATAATAAATCAACCCTCTCTTCGTACATGAACATCAATAAAATTTAGCAAGGTTTGAAGGACCAATGAAACAAAACTTTAAAAAAGTTTTTAAAAATGTTTTTATTTTATTTTTGCTAAAAAAAAAATTTAAAAATGAGAAAGGAAGCTTTATGCACCTTTGCAGGTAAGAAGTTCCAAAGTGTAAGTCTCTTCACAGAAAAATATTGTTACCTTGCCACTTCAGAAGGAAGAAAGTTTATTCATAGGACTTTCTATGGTGTCCTTACCAGATAGACAGACAGGTGTCATAGCAGGGCGGTGCCTGTTGTAATCCATAGCTCTGTGTATAATTATCAATCTGAATCAATCTACTGCAGGATGAAGTCTCCTCATGGAAGGTTATGGGCCATTACAGGTAGTCCTTGACTTGTGATCACAATTGGGTTTCCATTGCTTAGCAAGGCAGTTGTTAAGTCATGCCTAATTTCATGATCTTCTTTGCCATGTGTTATTAAGCAGATCGCTGTAATTGTGAATCATGCAGTTGAATGAATCCAGCTTCCCAAAGACTTTGCTTGTCAGAAACTAGTTAGGAAGGTCACAAATGGTGATCACATGGCTGCAGGAGGCTGCAAATGTTGTAAATTCATTCAAGTTATCAAGCGTATAACCATAAGGATGCTGTGATGGTTGGTAGTCCGAGGGCTGATTGTAACTCACTTTTTTCAATGTCATTCTAACTTTGAATGATTGCTAAACAGATGGTTATGAAGTCAAGGATTAACTCTTGACTTGAATGATGAAAGATGTTTTTCCCAATGAAGGGTGGAGGGAAAATGATTGGCCCACAATCACTTAGCTGACTGCTTTTCTTAAGGGAGGGCCAGAATCTGGTCTTCCTGTTCCTAGTCCAGCAATTTAATCATTGAACTGGATGGAGAATTTGAGTTACATTTATTATTTCATTTGTGCTAATTTGTTTGCCTGCAAGGCCTAGAACTGTATGCTCTTTTGTCAGCTAAAGTATGGTATTTTGGATTGCGGTCAAATATGAACTCTTGGAGAAGCAGCGATTTGTGTGGAGCTACAGTGGCTTTAGATTCCACCATATCTGAAGGGAGTCAAGTAGGAGGATAACTTGTGTAACTTGAGTAATATACTGCAGTTCCCGTCTTATACATTCAGTCATAAATTCAGAGAGTGCCACCTATAGAAACGAAAACAGATACGTGAAAGTGAAAATCCATTCCAGACTAAAATTCTTGGTAGTTACATTTGAATTTAAGTTCTGGTTTGTGTCTTTTTTTAAGGAACAAATAGATTATAGTGCTTTTTAACCTACATGTTAAAATTAGTGCCATGTTAAATGTTAAATCAGTGCCATGTTGGGAGATTTGGTGATAAGAACAACAGTGTAAATACTAATAACTAATTGTGATGTAACAGGAAACAGGGAGAAAAAACAAAGCACAGATTTTGTTTTTTGTAGGATGGATACGTATTTATGCAGCTTGATCTTAGAAGTCATCTATACTGATCCCCCTGACTCCTTCCATTCTCCCCACTCCAAAATGCTCCCTAAAACAGAACCAGCTAATGGCTTGGGAATAAAAGAGGAAAACATTTCAGCATCAGCCCTTCGTTTTTTTCAATAAGGCTCTTCAGGCCTTGCTCTCTTGTTTGTCTTTGTATCATCATCTCCCTCTCTGGAAATGTGTTAAAAAAAGCAATAGAGAAACAATTGTAATCCAGAAAAGCCCATTAAGAGTAATTTGGACGAGATCCTCATCCTTTGATCTTAGACCATCTGAGCAGCACAGGTAAAGTTTGGGAGAGTGCGTGTGTGGCAGTCTTGATGGTGCGAGTATGCACAATCTCATTCTCAGACTGGAGTTTGAGCCGTCCCAATTTTTCCCAGGCAACATTGCCAAGATTGGCTGTAGCCCAGTTCAGTTAAGGAAGGAACCCAATTCAGTTGAGGAAGGAGACTGGTCTCTGGCCTAGAGATGCAGAAAAATCAAATGGATTCGAATCCTGGTTCTAGTGGCTTCAACACCCCTCAGTTTTACATCCCAGGAAGGCATGATCCAGCTCTCTTATAGAAAGCATCTGAGGGCTTCCAGTTTGCGTCGTGGCGAGACAGGATGCAGGAAGGCAGGGCTCTAAATTCTGTGCCTGATTTCACCCTGCTGGTGTTCCTAAAAAGGGCCTAAAATTGCCCCAAAGGGACGATGAAGAGGAGGGGTGTCTTGTTAATCATGGAGAGATGGCAGTCTTTCTGTTTGATCCAAGGAAAGCTCTCCAAACCAGCAGGGGAAAGACTGGCTACATTCTTGTGGCCGGCCATTAGCTGCTGACAACTGAAAGAGAAAGAAAAAAAAAACAATACGTAAACAGCATGTTTGGAACTGGCTGAGAGTATTGATCCTTCCTTTACTATTTTACAACTGAATTTCCTGGGAAAGGCTCCCAAGAAGCTAAAAATCTCCGAATGTAAACAGAAGCGGCGTTTTAATTTTATGGGGGACAGAAACATACAATATTGAAGTGGAAGTAACATAAAGCTACAGCTTTGATAAATTTGAGAACTGAGATAACTGTTAAGATTTTCTCTTTGAAAAAAAAATATTGAGGCAAAATATAAGAAATCAATCCTTTATTTTAAGAGTGGAAAATGGACTTTGAATGACATCTAGTGGTGGATTTATGTATAGCACTACAATTTGCTTCTTGGCTGCTTGCTGATTCCTAGCTTGGAAGAACAGCTGGCAATAAAGGAAAATATTTTGGCATACCTATCACCCTGACCTTCTTGGATTATAAATACCTACTGAACTTGGACTTTAACTTCAAGAGCTAGTGGGAGAAAAGAAAAATTTGACCTTGGACTATGCCTGGCGGGGAGAGACTTTTGAGCTGTTTTCAGAGAAGCTGAACATTTTGAACACTTCGAACATTGTGGATTACAACCTTGCCTGACTGATAACTTTTTGAATATTTGAGACAAAGGATTACTATAAAATATTGCTTTCAGAACTGAACCTATATTTTGGAATCTATTGGATTATAAAGGATACATATAAAGACCAGAAAACTAGAGGAAACTTTAATATGCTCTTATTGAATCTGGTGATAGTAGAGGATTTCTAGCAATGATGACTCAAGAAAAAACAAACAACTTTCAGAAATAAATATATTCTATGCTACAACTAATTCACCAATTGTTGACTGCAAAGAGGACATACAAAGAAATCATAATGAGACTAAAAACAATTTAGACAATATAAACGAGCAAATCCCCAAATTAAATCTACAACTAGAAAGTTCCCAGATAACAACTACCAAGTATGAACAAATAATCCAGAAATCAAAAGACGAAACAGCAAGGGATTAGAGATGGAAGAGATAAAAGAAGGGAAACATAAATGACTATATACAAACAAAATACTGCAAGAATTAGCTATAACAATGAAAATGCAAAAGATCTTTTATCCCTTAGACCTGCAAAATATATCTGATGGCAAGGAAGAAAATTTTTAAAAAGGGAATATAGAGGGAAATGTCACAACTTGGGAGACAGGGATTGAAAAGAGAAATGGAGGGAGAAAGGAACTGGGAATTGTTTAAGGAATATAAATGGGCAGAATCCCCCCCCCCCAAAAAAATACCCTAGCTAAATTGTCTTCCTCATGCCAAGCAATTTTTACAAAAAGAAAAAGAAAATTCCGGGGCGATCTAATTGCCCTTGGCAAAGAAAGAAAGCAAGAGTCAGATTTAAAAAAACAGAAGATTTGACCTTTTAGAGGGGGCATTATATGTTTAAATACTTGTCTGAATAAGATTAAAAGAATGGATGACCCTGACTTCTGGTTTTGCACGTGGCTGTGTAAGAGTGGACTTCTGCTCCTCATAGCTAGTTTCATCCTGCCAGGGGGACCCTAGATGGGTCCGAAGTCACTCCAAAGAGGTGACCCTGAAGGAGGGGCGCCCTATTGATCATGAAGCAACGGTAATCGCTTCATTTGTTCGGGGGAAGCCGTCTGAACCCGACAGGAGTTCACATGCCAGGATCTAGCCCAGTGGTGGCGAACCTATGGCACGCATGCCAGAGGCAACACTCAGAGCCCTCTCTGTTGGCACGGGCACCGTCACCGCTAGCAGCAGGTCCATCAGGCCACCACTGCCGCCTGGAGCAGGAGCCTCACCAACCATTGTTGATTGGTGGACTGGAAGAAAAGGGAGGGGGAAGCATTTTACATGTGCGCATGCACGCATGGGGCTGCAAGCATGTACACGCTGCAAATGGGGCAGGGCTAGTGCCTGCGTGATACTCACTAGCCCTGCCCCTTCTTGCGTGGTACAGCACCTTGTATCTGCATCCTGCGGTATGGCAGCAGCCATTTTTGTGCCTTGCAACACGGTGGCCCATTTTTGCGACCCCGGTTTTTGCGTGCCAGAGGCGGCACTCAGAGGTGCCTCCCTGCCCCCCCCCTGAGGGCACCACAATGCTGATGACGCCCTGGCACTTTGCAATAAATAAGTGGGTTTTGGGTTGTGGTTTGGGCACTTGGTCTCTAAAAGATTTGCCATCACTGATCTAGCCCAAGCTACCTGCAGCCAAAGTCCAAGAGCACTAAAAAAGAACAACGGTGAACAGCATGCCTGGAATTGGTGAGAATATTAGATCTTCTCTCCCTTTTTTTGCAACTAAGTCCCTGGGAAAGATCCCAAAGCAAAAATCCTCCAAAAGTGAGGGGAGGGGACTATATTCCCATTCCCCCATAGATGGAAGCGGCGAACTAACCTTTAAGGAGGAAAGAAACATATTGAAATTAAATTTAAAATACTACAACCTGATCAAATTTAGAAACTAAAACAAACTGCTAAGATTATATTCTAAAGGATTTTGATGAAATTATAAAAAAGAAAAATAAGAACTTCTTGTCTGAAAGAGCTGGAAAATAAATATTTGCTGACATCTAGTGAACAATTAGAATATAGCACATTAATGACAATGCCCAGAAACAAAGAAAAAATCTGTTCCCATGAACTCTAATAACCTTTGTCAGGGAACAAAAAAGAGATTGTGTACTGGGCCAGCTATAAGATTGAAAAGTTTGAAGGAAAAGAAATACTTTGATTGTAGTCTAAATTTATGAACTGTTTAAAAACTTTGATCTATGACTAATTTTTGAGAGGGAAAGTTACAGGAAGGATTTAAGGTGGCTAAATGTATTGAATTGCAGTTCTGACTGGTTGACAATTGATTCCTGAAAGGAAGAATTGTTATAAAATACTGATTTTACTGAAACCTTGACAATTGAAAATTACAGTAGATTATAAAAATTATGTATAAAAACAAGAACTATACAAAATTGGACTGTTTGGATTTTAAGTTTTGGCCAGCTTGATAAGGCTAATACAGAGATTACGGCACTCGAAAGGGGGAGATAACATGGATATGACATATTCATCAAAAAATGATAAAAAACCATACTTAATATCTACTCTTGAAGGATTTCGTTGGAAAGATCAAAGACCTCTAGAAGCAACATTTCAAGATAAGACAAATACTTTCCAAGAAGAAATTTATGCAATGCTATGACAGAAACAAATCACAATAGCTCTAAACCACGAGGAGATTAAACATAACTTTGACAACATAAATGAATACACTTCTAACTTAAATTTACAATAAAAGAACATTCAAAGAATGATGGCAAAGAATGAACAAACAAATCAGATAACAGAATGTGAACTAGAAAAAAATGACTTAACTGGCGAAGTCATAAATGAAGGGAAATATAACTTAATACAAACAAGAAAAAACTCACAAGATTTGGATACAACAATAAATATGGAAAAGATACCTTATGCATTAGAACATCCAAATAAACCTGAGAAGAAAGAAGATTTAACAAATGGACGGTTAGGAGAATCACTGTTTGGGAGACAAAAAGTATACATTTTATATATTATGTATCCTCTACGCCTAACAACAACTACAAAAATACAAGAACTGTTTGAAAGTTGAAAATATTAACTTGGAAAACAATTTGGCAAAGGAAGAAGATTAGAGACGGGCTTAAGAAACTTGACTCGCCCTACCAGATGGAATATTATACGAGCAAACACTTGTTTGAATATGGCTAAATAAACAAATAACTTTGGCTATAAAGGGGCTTTAGAATAAGTGGGACAAGAGATATAAGTAGTATAGTATTTTTTGATAAGATACAAAATGTAAAAATATTGGGATGATGAAAGTAAAGAAAAAGTTTGAACTTTAAAGACAAATTAAGTTTGAAAAGATTTAGGATTAAGGAATGATTGAAATATTGAGGGGAAATTAGGCTTAATAAGAACTTTGAAAAAAGGATATATAGTGATTCAATCAATTTTTATAAATAGTGAAATATAAATTGATTAGAAAAGATGTTATAGGTAGATGTTATGATAGATAATTTCTATAATATATGAAATATGAAAATACTGGGATGATATATTTAAGTGGAAAATTTGGATGTTTAGATGTTAATTATTGAGAAAATTATGATTGATAATTTGAATATTATGGAGAAATTGAGCTTAAACAAGATTTATGAAAATAAGATATATGGTGAATCAATAAGATGACTTATGAAAATAACATAAGCTGATAAGAAAATATATATATATATGGACACTTGTTCGTATAAATATAGAAGAAAATGTTTTTATTTAATCATTTATATATGGAAAATATCAAATATCAAAAATTATATTTGTTTAATGCTGAAAAAGAATACTATTGGGAGAAGAGAGGATCAAGGAAATATATTATCAATCGATATACTAATTATGGAAATATAAAAATTTATTATTGACTGTTAATTAACTATTATTGATTGTATATTTTTTAAAAAAAATCATGAACCAAGACAACACGCTGTACACCAGGCACCAAGGTTGTTATTGTAAAAAATCAATAAAACTCTTACAAAAAAAAACCCCTTAGATATAATTAGACTTTTATAGTGAAAGATATAATTTAGAATTAAGATAACATTTTTTTCTTTTTCTTTGATATGGGAAACATGAAGATAAGAGGATTGATCTGAATAAATGTAATTAATATTGAGAAAATCATAAATGATAAAAATGTTTCAAATACTGATGGGAAATCAAACCTTAACAAGAGCACGAAAAACAGGATATTGATTAATGAATTGACATTATTGATTTATGAATTGATATTATTATTTGTATGATATTAGTAAAATTCAATGAAGATGCTTATCTCTAATGCTATATACATTAACAGTACCAAAAATTGTAATGGTGTATTGAAGGGAAAATGGAAAAAATATCGAGAAAAAAGGAGGATCAGGGAAAAAATACTGGATTGTGTAGTATTAAATAGATTTACATTAAAGAAGTTAATGTTAAATATCTGAACCCAGACAACGTGTTGTTTACTAAGCACTAAAGACTGTAATTTTTAAAAATTAATAAAACTTTTTGTAAAAAAAAGAAAGTATCTGGCACATATATAATATTTTGATTTACTTTGATGGCAGTTATGTGCAAAACCTTCTGGTGGATTTTATTTGTTGTGTCCTCATTTTGACCAGCTGAACAGTGCCAAATCATATTTTGTTTTCGGTCTCTCTCAAATATTGATTTTTTTTTTCCTCCTAGGGATTCTGCAGTGAAAGGAAATGTAATGTTTGCAACAAAGGACTCTTCTCCTTACGATATCGCATTGGTGGAGTTGGAAGAAAGTTTATCCAGATTGCCAGAGCTTGTTCTAGCATCAACGTTTCATCCAGGTGAGAGCAAAGTAATGCATCCAGGTTGGTGCATCTTCTTTTATTTTTAGTTCACATAGGGCTGTGAAGAAGAGAACAGAATAACTAACAGAGTTGGAAGGGACCTTGGAGGTCTTCTATCCAACCCCCTGCTCAGGCAGGAAACCCTATACCATTTCAGACAAATGGCCATCCAGTCTCTTCTTAAAAACTTCCAGTGTTGGAGTATTCACCATTTCTGGAGGCAGGTTGTTCCACTGGTTAATTGTTCTAATTGTCAGGAAGTTTCTCCTTAGTTCTAGGTTGCTTCAGGTGCTTTGGAGAATAGGTTGACCCATTCTTCTTTGTGGCGACTCCTCAAATATTGATGTATTAAATATTGATGTCCATCACTTAATATTAAAAAAAATGAAGCTGGCACTTATAAATAATGCATCAAACATTTCATGGGAATGCATGAAGCCTTACATATTGAAACCATCTTTGCAGTGATAGGCAAATATCTTTTAAATTTGTCCTGGAATTGAGTTCCAGACAATTCCTTTCAGTGAAGCAGGGTGAATCCATTGCTTTTCCTTCCGAGCAGATTATTTTAATCATTTTGGAAATATTTGGACTTGCAATTATTTAGAGCTTGAAATACTTCTAAAGCATTCAAAAGAGCTCTTGGGAAATAAGTGTTTTGCCCACACAATAATTAATTCATCCTCGGAGTTAATGCCTTAAGTGGTTTACAGCTGCAATATTTTTCACAGCACAGCTATTTATGGATATCTGCATGAGCAGGTGGAAGAGCGGGTTTCGGATGAAAAAAGTGACTTGTGAGTGGTCCTCGCACCTTATGGCCATTACAGTGACCCTGTGGTCACATGATCAAGCTTCCTCTTTCCGCTATGTATTCAAGATGGACAGTGATTAATATTTATATGTATTTATAGGTAAGGCTGTAGGTATATACGTATGTAGGTATATAGCATGTTTATATGTGTGTTATGTATGTGTATACTTTGGAGAGCAGCCAACAGAATTTCATTTTTAATGTGTGCCACTGTGCCTACAGTAAAAATGACAATAAAGATCTATCTACGATTCAGCTGCTGGGCAACTGGCATATATTTAGAATAGTTGCAAAATTCCGGGGTCAGAAAGTCTACAAAGACAACAATAAAGTGGCTTCCAACCTTTGTCACACTGAACATAAGCTAACATACAAACTTTTCACCCTCTTTTAAAGTTACAAATAAAAAAACTCTTCTCCCCATATAGCAATAACAACAGCACTTACACTTATATAACACTTCATAATGCTTTGTAGCCCTCTCTAAGTGGTGTACTGAGTCAGCATATTGCCCCTTCCCAACAATCTGAGTCCCCATTTTACTGACCTCGGAACAAATGAAAGGCTGAGTCAACCTTGAGCTGGTCAGGATCGAACTCCTAGCAATAGGCAAAGTTAGCCTGCAATACAGCATTCTAACCACTGTGCCATCTCAGCTCCTAACTTTTATTTATACACAATCTAGAAATCATACTTTCAGTCCTACTTCAATACTTCCATTAGGAGTTACCGGAGATATCAAACAAATCGTTTATCCCTGGTCAAATAATCCAATTTCATATTCCCTCTTTTTGCTCTGCGGAATCTTGATCTTTAAATGGTTTGTATTATATCACAGGATTTGACTTTTCATCACTCTTTAAAAGCTTTCAGTGGCCAATTTTGTAAATCCCATAGAGAGGCATCATCCAGGATTTCTTATTGCAGCTGTTCCATGTCCAGATTCTTTTCTTCCCATAAAGAGGCATCGTTCAGTACATGATGAGAAGGTTCTTGATGACTGTTGTCTGGTTTGATTTTTCAGGAGAAGATGTGAGTATGGTGAGCTTTGGTGTCTTCGGTCAGGCCTGTGGACCGTCTGTGACATCGGGAATCCTCTCGGCTGTGATCACTGTGGAAGATAAGCCGGTGATGCTCCAGGCAACCAGTGCGGTTCACAGCGGCTCAAGTGGAGGCGCCCTTTTTGGCACTCACAGTGGGAAACTTCTAGGTAAGACGGGTAGATAGTAATAGTAATAGTAGTAAAGTTGGAAGGGACCTTGGAGGTCATCTAGTCCAACCCCCTGCTCGGGCAGGAAACCCTAAACCATTTCGGACAAATGGCTGTCCAGTCTCTTCTGAAAAACTTCCAGTGTTGGAGCATTTACTGCTTCTGGAGGCAAGCTGTTCCACTGATTAATTGTTCTAACTGTCAGGAAGTTTCTCCTTAGTTCTAGGTTGCTTCTCTCCTTGAGTAGTTTCCACCCGTTGCTTCTTGTCCTGCCTTCAGGTGCTTTGGAAAATAGCTTAATTCCCTCTTCTTTATGGCAGCCCCTGAGATATTGGAATACTGCTATCATGTCCCCCTTCGTCCTTCTCTTCGTTAAACTAGACATACCCAATTCTAGCAACCGTTCCTTATATGTTTTAGCCTCCAGTCCCCTAATCATCTTTGTTGCTCTTCTCTGTACTCTTTCTAGAGTCTCAACATCTTTTTTACATCGTGGTGACCAAAACTGGATGCAGTATTCCAAGTGTGGCCTTACCAAGGCATTGTAGAGTGGCATTAATACTTCACGTGATCTTGATTCTCTCCCTCTGTTAATGCAGCCTAGCACTGTGTTGGCCTTTTTGGCAGCTGCAGCACACTGCTGGCTCATATTTAGGTGATTGTCTACTAGGACTCCGAGGTCCCGCTCACAGTTACTACTATTGAGCATGGTGCCACCTATGCTGTACTTGTGCATTTGGTTTTTCTTGCCTAAATGTAGAACCTTGCTTTTTTCACCATTGAATTTCATTTTGTTAGTTAGTGCCCAGTGTTCAAGTCTGTCCAGATCCTTCTGTATCTTAAGCCTGTCTTCTGTAGTGTTGGCTATTCCTGCCAGCTTGGTGTCGTCTGCAAATTTGATGAGTTCCCCATCTATCCCTTCATCCAAATCGTTGATGAAGATGTTGAAGAGTACTGGGCCCAGAACAGAGCCCTGGGGCACCCCACTACACACTTCCCTCCATATAGATGCAGTACCAAATTCTCAACAGTTAACCCAAAATAGAAACATCTAGAATAGTGTTTCCCAATCTTGACAATTTTAAGGCATGTGGACTTCAACTCCCAGAATTCCACAGCCAGCAAAGCTGGCTGTGAAATTCTGGGAGTTGAAGTCCACATGCCTTAAAATTGTCAAGATTGGGAAACACTGATCTAGAACAGTAATATAAAGAAAAATATATGGTATAGAATTATGCTATAGAATAGACTATAGAATTCCCAGGAGAATTATTAGAGTTTGGGAGACAGAAAGTATATATCCTACCTATTCTATCTTCTGTATTCTCAACAATACTTGCAAAAACACAGAAACTGCTGGGTAAGTGGAATATATCAACTTGGAAAGCTATTCGGCAAGAAAAGAAGGCTAGAGACAGAATCAAGAGATTTGACTTGCCCTACCAGATGGAGTATTACATGAGTAATACGTTTGAATATGGTTAAAAGAATAGAGAACTTTGAACATAAAGGGGCCCTATATCAAGAGAGATAAGAGATTTAAGTAATATAGTATGTTTTACAATATATGAAGTGTAAAAATATTGGGAAGATGTAACTTTTATAAATATAAGTGAAATATAAGCTGATCAGAAAGTATGTTATACCCAGATGCTATAAGATAGACAAGAAGCACAGTATTTTTATAATACATGAAATATGAACATATTGGGATGGTATACCTAAATAGGAAAATTTGTATATTTAGATGATTAACATTGAGAAAATCATGACTGATAAGACAAATATATGGTAATGATTACACTTTCTTTGTCCTTGATTTTACTTCCTGAGAATATTCAGTTTAAAGAAAACAAATTTCTAGCTTTCAGTTTAAGAAAGGCAAAGCTGTTGTGCTTTATGCGTCACTGAACTACAAATCTCAGCAGACCCAACCAGATGCCTCTAGCACAAAAAAAATTCTCACTTTAGTTCCTACAATTTATTCAGCTCTTTGAAAATTCATTTTAACAGTGTGAATCTCCCTAAAGCCTGTCCTCAGTCTCATCTCCTTTGATGTTGCATTTTTGCCCCTTTGTGTGTATGTTGGGATATTGAATTCCGTCCTTTTGTCCTCTGTGTTCCATTTGCAGGAATTGTTGCCAGCAACACAAAGGATAACAGCGTCGGTGTGACCTACCCTCACCTAAACTTCAGCATTCCCATTACAGTCCTGCAGTCAGCCATCTCGGAATATATCCACACCGGAAGCCTGCATGGCTTTCAAGAACTGGACAGAGTAGGAGAAAGAATTCAGGTGGTCTGGAGGCTTCAAAGGGAACCCTTGGAGATCCCACTCAGCAAACTATGAGAATTTCCATTGAAGAAGAGCAGAAGAGTATTGGCTTCATAGGTCATAGGTCCAGACTACCCGTTGAATAGTCTCATCCTGCTAGACAAGCCCCGCCCCACGTGTGCTGGCAGAGAGGGCCTACCGCGGATCCTGTCAGTCAAAGAACTCTATTGGGATCTAGAAGAAAAGTCTTCTCTGCTGCAGTGCTCGCCCTTTGGAATATCTTATGCTCCAAAGTGAGGTCTACCTCCACCCTCCTATGCTTCCCTAAGAGCTTGAAGACCTGGCTCTGCCATTTGGCCTGGTGACCAGATGGGGAAGTTCCACAATCTAGCAGATGGCTGCTAGATTAATGGCAAATCCCACCTCCCAGCTTGCTCCCTGCTTCCCCAACTACCCACTTTTATTCTCACATCGCTGTGTCATTGTTTCCCTTTTCATTCTTTATTCTAATGTTCCACTACTTTGCTTATTGTTGTTTGCACTTCTTTTCATTTCTCTGTTTTTATTGTTGTAAGCCATTCTAGAACAGTCCCTCGGCAAGATAGGCAACATGTAAATCTAACAAATAATAAAATACAGTACATACTGGGCTAAAGTGCTTCTAGTTCTACTGTAAACAACTCAATTTATGGAACTGACCCCAAATTAAGAGGTTGTACAAACAAAAAGGAGTTTCATTTGTTTCAGTAGCTTTATTGGCCAGGCATTTCATTTGATTTCACTTAGCATTCTTGTCCTAATTTGCCATTATAGTTGGTCCTTAACTTACAACCAAAATAGGAATCAAACATCTATCTCTAAGCAAGATGGCCATTAAGTGAGTCGCACACAGTTTTACAACTGTTTTTGCCATGGTTAAGTAAATCACTGTGGTTATTAAGTGGATCACAGAGTTGTTAAGCAAATCTAGCTTCCCCTGTTGAGTTTGGAGCCAAGCAGCTGAATTTTGATCACTTGACCGCAGAAAGGCCGCAATGGTTATAAATGCAAGATTGGTTGTAAGTCACTTTTTTCAGCACCATTGTAACTTTGAATGATTGCTAAATGAATAGTCATACGTCAAGGATTACCTGTATTTCCCTGACAGTGTCTATCTTGGTCAAGCACCCTGCTTATACTTGTTATGTACTGCGTTTTTCCATTACGCCTGGAAGTCTGTTTTAGAATGTCTTCCTTCAATTCTTTGCAAAAGCTCATTTTTCTGTTATCCCATTCCATATATAGCTTATGCTTTACCTTTGGCTTCCCATTGTCTTCCTGAATAGTTGAAATGTGGGTTAATTCTTGGAAGAACAGATCTTTCTTCTTCTTCGTTATGGTGCTGTATAAATAAATAACAGAGAGTGCTTTATCTTTTGTACTGAATAATGCACTTAGTACCTTTCTTTGGCCACTGGATATTTAACTAATCACCATTTTAAATACTGACCAATTTCTCTTTTGCTTGGTTTGTTGAGCATTTTCTGAAAAATAAAAAACTTCAAATATCTTCAGAGAGTTATAAAACAGGCCGTTTGTCTGACAAATGGAAATGCCCATTTGTTTCATATAATATAAAGCAGTGTTTCTCAACCTTAGCAACTTAAGAGACCCGGACTTCAACTGGCTGGGGAATTCTGAGAGTTGAAATCCCGACCTTTTAAAGGGGCCACGGTTGAGAAACACTGATATAAAGCATCTTGGTTTGTTTTGATCATAATGCATAAATCAGGGTCCTGTGGTTTGTTCCACAATCTTTGAGTTTAGAATTCCTGCTTTAGAATTATGCATGAATGCAGTTAGAATTCAGCTTCAGATATGATCTTCTGTTAAATAATGATGCTGTTTTTCTCCTTCACCCCCTTATACTCTCTTAATGTAGATAGACACTGCAGTGTTTAGGAATCTTGAGTTTTTCAAATAATTGACTTTCTTTCCTTTGCATTTGCATTTTAGCACAGTTCAGCAGGACCCAACTAAGTATGACTTCTTTGCCAAATTTAACTTCATTAGCTGAATCAGAATAATCAAAGTAATTATCATAATTATGAAAAATAAATGAGCTGTGTGGTGGCCTAGAGGTGAAGACGCTTGACTCCCACGTGGAAGGTTGAGAGTTCAATCCTAGGCAGCGGCAGATGTTTCTCTATCAGGACACAAAGAGAAAATATTTGCTGTGAACTCCACATAGGCATCAGGAAGGGTATTCGGCCAGTAGATGCTCAGCTCCATTCAATCAGGTTGATATCACCCTGAAGCAAGGGATTTCAGGGTTGTAAAAAGAAAAAAAATATGATAAATAAATTGGGAATTGCTTGGCTTGAAGAATTTATGCAAACAAACATATTTACATTTACCTTGTGTTGTATGGCAGTTTGGGGAATCCAGATTTCTAGATTCACTTTAACTATACATACCATGATTTTTATTGGGAACCGAGTATGGAATGGATATGGATGTAGGTTGTACAACTAATCCTCGACTTACAATCACAACTATGATGAGAATTTCCATTGCTAAACAAGACAGTTGACATGTGTTAAAGCAGATGTGTCAAACACAAGGCCCGGGGGCCGGATGTGGCCTGCGACGTTTCATGTGGCCCGCAAAGCCATCCTGGAAACAGTGAGGGAATGGCCCCTGCTGCCTTGGCCCCAGCCCAGACCTCCCAGGAGCCAATGTACAATTTTGTGGTGACCATCTATGCTGAAACGCATTCAATCTTCGCTCCACAAGGCTGTCTGGAAACAGCAAGGGACTGACCCCTGCCGCGTTGGCTCTGTCCCCTGGGTGCATGCTGGGGAGGTATCACCCTTTGTGAGGAATGAAGAAATGCACCATCGCTTGGAAGTGGCCAGCAAATGGCCCTCACCTACTTCACATATCCGGCTTGATGGGCTCCAAGGAAGGGGTTTCTACAGACAGTGGGGCGCTGTCCTCACAGCACCAAGAGCTGAGCTGGGTGGCGCAAATCTGATGAGAAGTGCAATGTTGTCTAGCCCCCAGCCTGCCCGATTACAGCAGGCAGCAAGATGCAAAGCTGGCAAGCTTCGCACTGCCTGGCTCAGCCTCTTGGCGCTGTGAGGAAAGCGCCCCGCTGCTTGTTGAAACCAGGCAGGCTGGAGGCTGGATGGCATTGCGCAGGTAAGGTCGACTCTCACGTTGCTCATGGCATTCCCTCCCCCAAAGCCCACCAAGCCAGATATGTGAAGTAGGCAAGGGCCATGTGCTGGCCACTTCCAGGCAATGGTGCATTTCTTCATTCCTCCTCAAGGGTGACACCTACCCAGCTGCGTTTCTTGCCTGTTTTTCTCCCTCATCTCAAATATTTTCCCACCACTCTGTTCTTAGGAAGGAAGAAAGGAAGGTAGGAAACAGGGAGGGTCTGAGGGAACTCCTGCCTTAGTCCTGCCCCGCTGCCCTTTCACCGTCCCCTTGCCCCCTCCTCCTGGCCTATCCTGGGGGTCTCCCATCCTATTGCTGAGGAAGCTTTGGATACAAAGCCGGGTCTCCTCCCAAGGAGAGGGAATGGGCCTCCCTCTGACTTTGCCCTCATACCCATCATGAGCAACTTGGCTAAGGAGAGCAAGCACAGCAGCAGCAGTCTTGAGGAGGAGGTAAGTGCAGCTGGGGTAGTGGGGCTGGGCTTGGCGCCGCGGGTGCTTGAGGGCCGGGCTGCGCATTTGATCTCTGCTGCCCAGGGCTCTGGGAAGCCCACGGCACCATCCAGCCCCCCCCTCGCATGGCCTGAGAGGAACAGTGAGGCTGTTCCAGTGGATCATGCCTTGGGGCTTGCCCCGGTCCCACTCCCTTCTGCCAGAGACTCTCAGATCTGTCCCACTCCTGCCCAGGCCCCCACGGGTACCCTTGATGCAAACGATGAGCTGGCCATGCCCACCCAGTAGGCCACACCCACTCCAGCCATGCCCACCCAGTAAGCCATGCCCATCCTGGTCACACCTATCTGGCCCCCCAAGGACAATCGCAATGCTGATGTGGCCCTCAATGAAATTGAGTTTGATACCCCTGTGTTAAAGCAAAGAGGTACTGGACAAAACTACATACTTGACTAGAAAAGATGTTGGGAAAATATGTAGATTTTAAATCTGAACTTTTTTATTAGGTATTATGGCAGAAAAGATTGATAAACAAAGTATATATTTGATTTTACATGTGATAACAGCAGCAAGAATTATATTTGCACAATATTGGAAAAAGGAAGAAATGTTATCAGAGGAAGAAATAATTAAAAAAATACTAGAATGTGCGGAAATGGACAAACTTACTATGAGGTTGAAAGTAAAAGAAGAAACAGAATACTATCAGACTTGGGACTTACTTTATCAATGGCTGGAGAAAAGAATAAAGGATTAGGAATTAAAATTGTATTAGTGAATGATAAACTCAGACAACACATTGTTGAATAACTACTATTGAATTGTATGGAAAAAGTTAATAAAAAATTTACCCCCCCCCCGCTCCAAAAAAGTAATTTACCTTCAGGTGGGGCATGCCTGAAATAGAATTTGAAACAAAAATAACAATAAAAAAAACCTTCCTGAAAAAAAACCAATTGCTAAATGAGGCATGCCTGATTTTACAACCTTTTTTGCCATGGGTGTAAGCAAATCACTGCAGTTGTTAAGTGAGTCATATGGTCTCTAAGCAAATCCAGTTTCTCTATTTTTTTTTATTGAAAAGTTTTATACAAATTTTCCATTTTATTACAATACAATATCCCTCCCTCCCCCCCACCCTAACTCTAACCCCCCCTCACTTCCCAGAGCTGATTACAGAGTTACAAATAAGCAAACAAATTCTAACTAAGCTTATCCAACTATACCAATAACCAAATCTGTAAAATACTTTAACTCAAATACAAAAAGATTTCAAAAAAATTAAAAACAAAAATAACAATATAAACAATTCCCACTTTAAACTATAAGTTATTCAAAAACTAAATGATACTTTCTAATCCCATATTTATTCTGTACATAATTTATCCATCTTCTCCACACCGAGTACTCCTCTGGTACTTTAAATCATGGAGATGGTGGTGAGCCTGCTCCCAGGACAGAAATATAAAAATCTTTCGCCTTTGAAATTGTGTTAAGTCTATAACGTGTCCCCGCATAGCTCACCACTATTCCGACCGGTATCTCCCATCTGAACTGAAGCTGTCGTTTTTTAAGCTCATCAGCCAAGAAGGCAAAATCCTTTCTTCTTCTTAAAATTTTTGGAGGAATTTCTTTTAAAATTATAACATCTTGAGCCGCAATTTTAAATCTCTGCTTGTAAAAAGCTTGTATAATTTCATTACAAAGCGATCTCCTTGCGAAATAAATAACCACAGCTCTTGGTAAATTTCTCTGCCTCGCAATCCATGAATTAACTCTAAATATTTTTTCTATATCTCTCAATATTTCTTCAGGTTCACACCCCAAAATCAAAGCTATATCCTTCACCACCAGCTCTCTTAGATTTTCTTGCATGTTTTCCTTCAAGCCTCTACTTCTTAAAGCAAATTCCATATCTCTATATTGAGACATGATAATTTCATCCTGTGACATTTCCACCTTATTTTCCACTTTACCAACCCGATCTTCCAGACCTTCAACCTTTTCCACAACATCATCAATACGATCGTCTAGCCTCTCAACATGGGCAGCAAGTCCTTGCAAAGCAAGTACTATATCCCCCCTCATTTCCCTATTTCTGTCCTCTAAAAGTTCCTCCATTTCTCCTCTAATCTGTCGGACTGCATTTTCCAAGGCGTAAGTCTTTTAACGTGAATGCTGGTGGTGGAGAAGATAGTGGTGACCTGGGTTTAGCTTGCTGAACCATCTGTATAACCAGAGAAGAGATCGAAGCTTTAGGCACGACAGAAGTTGCGAGACACTTTGAAGCCATTTTAATTTGTAAAACTACTTCTTAAGAAATCAACTAGTGTCTCAAAAAAAGGGGGGGAAAGAAAAGAAAAACAAAAAGCCCCCTATACAAAAACAAAAAGTAAAACTATTGTCTTTTGTATCAATAACCAAAATCCATTACATTATTCAAACTTTGTAGCCAAATGTAGCCAAGTGAAAGTTCTTTCTTTCCTTTCACTCACAGAAAAAATATCCCAGTGCCATTTTAACTTCTTTTATAATTGTAAGAAAAGGAGAAGATTAATTCTTTTCCGGAGTTAAAGTTCCAAGATAATCACAATTATAAATACTCCTGGTCAGCTCTGTCTGCTTTAAATTTTACTCACTAGTTCACTTTAAGCGCAGATGTGGAAGCAGCGTCTTGCTTTGTCCAAAAAAAAAGAACAAAGGCACCTGAGATGTGGAGAAGCCTCGGACTCCGTGGGAGCTCTCACCCTCCGACACCCCCTCAAAATGTTAGGGTCTTGGGGAGCTGTACCACTATCCAAGGAAAACTCACCTCCTCTGCTTCGCCCGGGGAGAGAAGTTCCAAACCGCAGGTCAGCTGTTGTCTGCTGTCTCCGCAGTTTTGACACTTTCT